AGGGGGGGGGTGCGGGGTGTGGCGGTGGGGGAATGGGCGGACGGGCGGACGGGCGGACGGGCGGACGGGCGGGGATGTTGTGGCGGGGCGCTACTCGGTGGTCGGTGGGGAATTGATGGAGGACAGAGCGGCTCAAGAACTTTGCGGTGAACAATGGGCGAACGACGGCATGTCTGATTGTGTACATGGGCATCAACGTGTTTGTGTTTCTCCTCACGTACGTGCGGTACCGGACGGGCAAGAACAAGCAGGTGTATGCGCTTCTTGGCGAGGGTGTGACGATTGCACGTGGAGCGGCGGCGATGCTCAACTTTAACTGCTCGATGCTCCTGCTTCCTGTGTGCCGCAACCTGCTGACGCGACTTCGTGCCACGTTTGTGCACTCGATCATTCCTCTTGACCTCAACATCGAGTTCCATAAGTTCTGTGCATGGCTCATTGCAGTGTCTGTGGCGATGCACGCGACGGCGCACTACTTCAACTACGACACGCTGGGCGACCAGACAAAGGACTCGTCGCACACGCTGGCGTTCGGGACGGTGGCCGGCTCGACGGGCCACATCATCACCATGTGCATGGTGCTCATCTACACGACTGCGCTGGAAAAGGTGCGGCGGCAGTGCTTTGAGCTGTTCTGGTACACGCATCATCTGTTTGTCATCTTCTTTGGCCTGCTCATCATTCACGGCACGCCGTCGTCGCTGCAGCCGAACCAGTTCTGGGGCTGGTTCCTCCTTCCGGGCTTCCTCTACTGTCTGGAGCGGGCGCTCCGGGTGGTGCGCGGCAACTTTGACACGCAGATTGCGCACATCATCCAGCACCCGAGCTCGGTCATCGAGATCCAGCTGATCAAGCCGTCGTTCCGGATGGTGGCCGGGCAGTACATCTTCCTTAACTGCCCGTCGATTGCGCGGTACGAGTGGCACCCGTTCACGCTCACTTCTGCGCCACAGGAGGAGACGTGCTCGGTCCATGTGCGTGTGGTCGGCGACTGGACCCGCGCGCTGGCGGCCCGGCTTGGGCTCTCGTGGGACAAGTCTGGCGTGCCAATTGACTCGGAGGTGGCCGACGCGTACGGGCTCTCGTTCCGCATCGACGGCCCGTTCGGGTCTGCGTCCGAGGATGTGTACGACTACGAGGTGGCGGTTCTTGTGGGCGCCGGTATCGGTGTCACGCCGTTTGCCTCAATTCTCAAAGACCTGTGGTACCGCGTCATGGACGTGGGCTCGATGCGGCTCTCCAAGGTCTACTTTATCTGGACTTGCCGTGACAAGTCGGCCTTTGAGTGGTTTGCCGACATCCTTGCCGCCCTCGAGCAGGAGGCGCTCGGCGACCTGCTCGAGATCAACGTCTTCCTCACTGCCAAGCTCTCGCTCGACGAGGCCCGTGAAATCGTGTACGCCGAAGCCGGCCACGGTGGCTCGGCTGGCGGCGGCGACGTCATCACCGGCCTGCAGTCGCCGACTTACTACGGCCGCCCAGACTTTGAGGGTCTCCTCCGCCGCTACGCCGACCGCCACCGGACTCAGCCGCCGGCGCCACCGGGCACGATCGGCATCTTCCTTTGCGGCCCGGCCGTCATTGCCAGTAAGCTCCGCTACCTCGCCAACATTCTCACAGACGTCACCTCGGGCATCCAGCTGGTCTTCAACAAGGAGAACTTCTAACTGATAGCCTGTTCAATGAAAGCAAGATGGCGTTGCCGCTTCGCCTGTTGCCGGACGCGAGTCGAGGGACGCCGTCCTTTGCGCTACTCGGCCCCACTCCCGCGCATCAGCAGGACCTTGTAAAGGGCGCCGGCGCGGGCGGCAAACACCACGGTGATGTCGAGGAACTCGGCGAGGAGGATGCCAAAGAGCGTGCCGACCACGACCTGGTAGCAGTTCTCGTCTTCGGCGAGGTGGATCATGGCAACAATGATGAGGATGTAGATGAAAAGAAGGAGACCAAAGACGGCAACCGATGCAGCAAGCGTGATGAGCGCAGCCTTGGAGAAGCCGAGGACAATCGGCGGATCGTGCCCGTCGCTCTTGGCCTCGCGCCTCGCGCGAGCCCAGGCCGCTGCCAAGTACAGATGGTAGACGGCAAGGGCGGTGAGCGACTTGGCGATGACCACAAGCGGCAGGATGGCGAGGTAGTGGACAAGATTGACCCGCGGGTAGCTTGCCGAGGTGGAGAACGAGGACTGTGACGAGTCCGAGGTCATGCCCGACGCCCATGCCGTGTTGATCAGAACGTTGACGGCGGTTGCGGTGAGGGTGACCATGATCCGGTCCGACTTGACGAGCGGCTCGTCGGCGTACGGGTAGAACGGCCAGAGGTATGGGTGCTCGTGCCGGCACCAAGTGGCAAATGGCTCACGCGGGACAGGGAATGGCCGGCGAGTGACGAGCGTCTTGATGGAGACCCGAGCGTCGATGTGCGGCTTGTGCCCGAGCTCAGCGTGTGTGCCTCCCGAACCGGCCACCAGCGCCGATGCCTCGTTGACCGACTCACCGCTGCTTTGACCAGCGATGGGCCGGGCGTGCTTGCGGCGGTAGAGCGAGTAGCCACAGCACACGCCCGCCACGCCGACAACAATCACCAACCACAGGGTGGCGATGCCGGCGATGGCGGCGATGCAAGTCCCGGTCGGGCGAATGGAGACGCGGTAGACCACATCCTGGCTGGCGGTCGAGCCGGCACTCGGCCCGAGAACAAGAAAGACGGCTTCGTCGGCAAAGCGGATCTCTTGCCCGCGCCCGGCGAGCACTGCAACGCATCGAGGCAGTGCGGCTCGAGCGCGAGCGAGCGGCCATCGTTGACTAGCTCGCCGTACTGGGTATGGGTGAGGATGTAGAGATCAAAGGCCGCAGCAGACGCATTGCCCGACGAGGAGGTAAAGGTGAAGTTGAGCGAGCAGGGGCAGAGCGGCGAGGAGAGGACGGAGAAGCCGTCGTGCGGGGCGACCGTGACCGAGCCAGCGAGCGCACGCGGTGCACGGCCAGCCACTGGGGCGACGATGCCTGTGGCGAGGACGACGATGGCAGCGAGAATCCATGGCGGAGGCATGGTGGGGCGGGTGGGCGGGTGGGCGTGGTGGGGCGTGGTGGGGGGAGGGAGGGGAGGGGGGAGAGGGGAGTGTGACGGAGGTGTGACATGGAGGTGTGGTCATAGGGGAAGTGTGGTCACAGGGGAGGGGAGCGAGGAAGGGGGGGGGGGCGGGTGGGGGGTGGCGACTAATTTTTTTTACCTCATGTAGAGTGTTGGATGGCGGTTGGCGGTTGGCGGTTGGCGGTTGGTGGGCAGGCGTTGCGGGCGGGAGACGAGACGGCGACGGTTTGCAAGCGAAGCAGCGGGAGGAGGGCAGGCGGGCGGGCGAGCGGGCGGGAGGGGGTGGCAGTCGTGGCCAAGGTGAGGGGAGAGGGGAGAGAGGGGGGGGCACCGCACTACGTTTGAAGGCATGTCTGTGCGTGTGGAGGCCAACGGGCAGCGGATTATCATCGAGGCGCCGCTGCGCAAGACTGCCGGTGTGCCCATGCCCGGCTCGACCCTCCAGTCGGCGCTGGCAGCGACAACGGCGGCAACAGCGTTCCGGCCGGCGTCGAGCGCTGCGCTGACGACTTCGTCGGCGGCACTCAAGGCGACGCAGACAGCGAGTACGGCTCCGCCAGCGCCGCTGACCCAGGTCCGGAGCCAGACGAGGTCGCGTGCCGAGGCCGAGACCGAGCTCGCCGAGGCCCGAGCCCAGTTCGACGCCCTCAATGCGTCGCTCGCTGCGTCAGCGCCCATTGTGGCCGGATTGGAGGCCTCGCTCGACGCGCTCGCCGAGGCGCACGCTGCGTCGTCGACGGCGCTCGCTACCTCGCGAGCAGCTGCAGAGGGCGCGTCGGACGAGATCGCGTCGGTTGACGATCGCATCCGCGCCGCCCGCGCCCGCCTCGCCGCCCTCGACGCCGAGAAGGCCGCGCTCATCGAGGCCATGCGTGCTGTCCTTGCCGAGCAAGGCGACGTGCTTGCCTCGCTTGAGGCTCTCGAGGCCCAGAAGATGGCCACCAACGCGTCGCTGGCAGAGGCCTCCGCCTTTACCGGCGAGGCGGGCGAGGCGCTCGCCACGCTCGAGTCCGAGTCGGCGTCGGTGGCCAGCCAGCTCAACGCGCTCCGCGCCCGGCGCGCCGAGGAGACCCGCCTTCGCGGCGAGGCCCTCGCCAAGGTCCGCCACCTCCAGAAGACCGTCGGCGTCCTCGACGCAGACATCGAGGCCGCCTCGTTCCGCCTCGGCGCCGCCGCCCCGCAGCCCGCGCTCGTCTCGGGCGTCCACGACGTCGCCAACGCCGATGCCATCGCCGCCTCGGCTCCGCAGGCCACGCTCGAGACCTCGATGCAGCGCGCTATGGCCACCACGGCCTCGTACGCCAACACCCACGCCACCGCCGCCACCCGCGGTCAGGGCTCCGCCGCCCGCTCCGCGACTGCCGCCCGCTCCGCCGCCACCCGCAAGGCCTTCCGCTCCACCTACCAGGCCGACTTTACGGATCGCCGCGACCGCTACGCCTACGCCTCGTACGCGCAATGAGAAGTGCACAGCACGCCGCAGAGAAGGTGAACTCGCACAAGCACCACAGCAGGAGCAGGTTAAAAAAGGCCTCGCCCGCTCTGCGCCCGTAGTTTGGTGGGATCGACGTGTTACTCCGACAGGTTACAGTTGCATGGCAGCCAGCTTAGGCGTTGCGATGGGCAACGCCGACAACGGTGTTGTTGACGTTGGTGGCAAAGCGGAGAGTGCAGAGCGACTCCTGCATGTTGGACGGCGCCGGTGAGACGTTGGCAAACATGAGGACCTTAGAGTCGCCGCCGAGCGCAGGCTTGAGGAGATAGGTCAGCTTCGAGTTGCGGTACGGGATGTGCGAGGCCTTCTTGCCGATGGCGGCAATGCAGTTGGAGAGCGCAGAGAGCGACTTGTTGATAGCCTGGGTCTCCTTGAGCCGCTCGCCCGACGACTGCGACTTGGCGAGTCGCTCCGAGCCGGCAAGATCGACGAGGTTGAGCTTGCCCGACCACGCAGTCTCATTCTCGGCGTGCGCGCCCGAGATCTTGAGGGTGAAAACCGAGTGCGAGCGAGACGAGCGCGCGTTCATGTTCGTCGCCCCGACCGAGCGGTTTGTCCGCGCAAGCGCGAGCACCGCGTCGACGTCGGCGGCCTGGGCCACCGGCCGCCACGTGAGCCCGGCCGCATACGTCTCGCCGCTCTCGCGGTCCATCCGGACCTCGAGCTCGACGGCCGCTGCGTCGGCGTCGGGCGCAAGCAGATCGCGCACCGTCTCGTTGTAGATCTCCAGATACGAGGCCTCAAAGGTGTACGACCACCCCAGCTCGGCTTGCGCCGCCGCCCGCTCAAAGATGTTAGCCACCGCCCGCGGAATCATTCCAATGGCCTCTACCCCGCACTCGGGGTAGCCCTCCATGGTGTACGTCTTGCCCGAGCCGGTCTGCCCATACGCAAAGACAGTCACGTTGTACCCATCGAGCGCCGACTGGACGCATGGCGCAAGCTGGCCGTAGACGTCGGCCTGGGTGGCGGTCGGGCCAAAGACCGCGTCAAACGGAAAGTCGTACTCGCGCTCGCGGGTTGACGAGCCCTTGCCCGGTGCAGTCACAAGGACCGACGAGGTAAAGTCCGGGTTCTCGCCGGGGAAGGCATACGGGACAGAGCCCGAGTTAGTGCCCTCGGAGCCAAGGAGCGGCCGGACCCGGCAGAAGACTCGGATGTTGCCACGGAGCTTCTGCACCATCTCGTGCAGCGCCCGCCGGTGCATCTCGTCCGCATGCCGCGCCGCCTTGACAGCCTCCAGCTCGGCCTCCAGCTCGGCCGCTCGCGCATCGGCGCTCTCTCGTGACACACGCTCGGCCTCCAGCGCCTCGTTGGATGCCGCGAGCGCCGTGCGCAGCTCTTCGCCCACTTTGAGCGCTGCAGTCGTCTCGCTGCGTGCTGCCTCGGTGGCGGCCTCCAGCTCGGCCACCCGAGTCTCGAACTCGAGGTTGGCCGACTCAGCCGTGTCAAGCTGCGATGTCAGCGACTCGCACGTTGCCGCAAGCTGCGAGCAGTTGTCCTCGAGCTGCGCAAACATGGTCTGCATCTCGCCGATAGCGGTTGCGTGCTCAGCCTTGAGGCTCTCGACCTCCGCCGCCGCCGCCGCCTTGGCCTCAGCTGCTGCGGTCTCGGCCTCGGTCTGCAGCTCCTCTAGCTGCGACCGTGCATCGTCCAGCTCAGCACTCGTGGTCTCAAGCGTTGCGCTCAGCTCGGCCGCCGACGCAGCAGCTGCATCGCGCGCTGCCATCACCTGAGTCAGCTCGGTTTGGATGCTGGTGCAAGCCTCGCTGGCCTCGTCGCGAGCGCTGACCGCGAGCGCAAGCTCCGCCGCCAGCTCGTCACGAGCGGCAATAGCCTCGTCACGGCCACAGGAGGTGATCTCCAACTCGGCGACAAGGCCATCGTGAGCGGCCGAGGCCTCGTCGCGCGCCGCAGCCGCAGCCTCAGCATCCGCAGCCGCTGCATCGGCGCGGGCGGTTGCCTCCGCCACTGCATCCGTGAGCTCCGCCACTGCCGAGACCGCAGCATCGCGCTCGGCCTCAGCAAGCTCCACCCGAGTCGTGAGCTCAGTCACCGCCGCTGAGGCGTCAGTCTGGGCTGCCTCAAACGTCGCCAGCTTGGAGGCCAGCTCGTCGCGTGCAGCAAGCGCGGCATCGCGCTCGGTCGTCGCAGCCGCGGCAGCCTTGACCGCGCCGTCGCGCTTCTCCTCAGCCAGCCGCGCAACCTGGGTAGCATCTGACAGTCGTGCCGTGACGGCGATGCAGCCCTCGCACTCGGCGGCTGCCTTTTCGCGCAACTCGGCGATCTCGAGGTTCTGGGCGGCGGCAGCGGCCGCTGCCGACGCGGCCTTGGCCACCGCATCTGCCAGCTCGTCTTCCAGCCGAATGCAGGCATCGCACGGAACCGCCGAGTCTGCCTTGACCTCGGCCAGCTCAGCCTTGGCCATTTCGGCGGCATCCAGCGCAGCAGCAGCCTCCTCGCGGGCGACGTTGGCTGCGGCCTTTGACGCTGCGCACGTCGGGCACTTGCCAGCCGGATACGGCGAGTTCCGCGGCGAGGCGGTAGCCGTGGCCACCAGGCTCCGCCGCAGCTCGGACTTGGCCTTGGCCATAGTGCCAATCTGCTCATCGACAGCCTCCATCTCGCCAGACGAGCGAATGATCTGCGACTTGAGCGAGAGCACGAGCTCCTCCATGTCCTCCACCCGGCCGCGCAGATCCGCCGACGACCTTGCCGCCGCGCCCGGGGCCTTGGTCACCTTCTGCTCTCGGTTGCTCTCCTTCCGTCCGTTCCGCGCGCCCAGCACTTGCCGCTCCCGCCCCACAGGAGCACGACCGGCGACTTGCCCGCCAGCCTCGTTCTCGTCGTCAGACATGACCGAGGAGGCCAGCAGCTCGGCCTTGGCCGGCGCTGGCGCAGGCCGTGCCCGGGAGCTTCGCAGGCCCGTGTCGGTCTTGGCCTGCACCACCTTGTACCTACGCTGATGCATGTGTTCTGAGTGAGGTGTGCGGGACCGAGCGCCCTCTAGCTGCTCCTGCCCGTATCGGTCGTGACTCAGTTGGTTGGTGGCCCAGTGGCGCGCCAACGCTAAAAGGTTTGAAATTTTTGTGTTGTTTTTCCCCCGCACCACACACACACACACACACACACACACACACACACACGTCGATCATGCGCGGATGGGGATGGCCGATCGCCCTCGGGGGTTTAGATCAGAACTGATCATGTGGTTTGGTGGCTGGCAGGGAGCGATGTGAGGTGAGGATGGAACGCTGGTGCAAGTGATGATCACGAGCTGTTCTACATCTGTGATCACCATCGCTCGGCTCGACAACGTGTCACACACCGACGGGAATCGCCGCGGTTTACGGTTGCAGCGGCACTACGCTGCGCCTGAACAGCCCGATCTAGACCTCGTTGTTTTGCACCAGGAGAGCAGACTTTTCGGGATCAGGCACAAGGCTTGCGATGAGGCCGGGTGACTTGATGCGGGTGAAGCCAAAGATGATACCGACGACGCCGGTCAGCCCCATAAGGGTCGCGTTGACGACAAGGAACGAGCCATCGAAGACGTCAAAGGCGAGCCACTCGAAGAAGAGGTCGATGAGCGTCGAGAAACCGCAGAGCGGGACGATGACGCCGAGGGCGCGACCAATGTTGCCTGCGCCAAACATGTCGGCGCAGACAGGAACAAGCATGGCGAAGAAGAGGTAGCGGGTGAAGGCGAGGAGGAAGATAGACAAGAACTGGAAGCCCCAGGGCAGCCAGGTAGCGACTGATGAGAAGGCAAGCAGGCAGGTGAGACAGCCGAGGACAACGATCTGGGCACCCAGCGACAGTCGCTGAGACATGGGAATAGTGACGAGGGTAAATACGACGACGAGGGGGAGGACGATGGAGAAGACAAGGACGAGAGTGTCGACATGGTCGGCAGATCCGGGGCCTGAGCCTACGATCCATTCCATCTGCTTGTGGAACGTAGCCATGTAAAAGTACTTGGACGAGACGTAGAGCGTTGTCCAGAGGAGGAGCAGCGGTGTGGATCGGTTGAGAAACAAGGTGGCGTACGGGGCGAGCTTGCCGGCGGGTGGCGCTTCGGGGTACTGCGAGCGCGAGGCGAAGACACAGGCGGCACCGAGGACAAAGGCACAGGCTGCGTACGGGATGGTGATGGTGTGCCACGAGTATCCGAGCGAGTACAGGCCGTGGATGCCGAGGTAGACGCCGGCCGATCCGTCGAGGAGGGCCACGAAAATAGCAACCAGCGTGTCAGGGTTTTCGCAGGCGTAGACCAGCGGCATGACGGCCATGTAGACCATGCCGACCGATGTGCCTTGCAGGGCAAATGCGACGAACCAAGTGATAGGCCACGAGATTGGTCCAAAGGCCATAGCCGCCACACCTGCCACTGCCGAGATCACACCAGCCACCAAGACCGAGAAATGGCCGAACTTCTCCATGGCATAGTTGGCCGGGAAAGCAGCGAGGTTGACACAGGCGAGACCAACCGTAGACGCCCACACCAACTGGAGTTGCGGCGAGCCTGATGACGATGCCGCGCCAATGGCTAGCAACACAGGCAGAAGTGCCTGAAAGCCTGGGAGGATGGCGGCAACGGTGAGAGTAAAGACATAGGGAAGGCCTACCTTGCGCAAAGTGGTACGAAGAGCCATGGTTCACACACAATTGGTCTCGCAACTGCAATCTTTGCGACAAATGTGTCACAGTCTTTTTGTATGCCTTTAAAGAACAGCTCTGGCTGCTGCGGTACATTGCGGTCGCTTGCTGATCTGAAACAGCCCACCACATCCCCCTGGCGACTACATATATGTAGGGTTTCATGGTTGCGGTTGTTTGCTACATGTCACTGTTGCTTGCTGTGTATCGTGGTTGCTTGCTGTGTATCGTGGTTGCTTGCTGTGTATCGTGGTTGCTTGCTGTGTATCGTGGTTGCTTGCTGTGTATCGTGGTTGCTTGCTACGTATCGTGGTTGTTTGCTGTGTATCGTGGTTGCTTGCTGTGTATCGTGGTTGCTTGCTGTGTATCGTGGTTGCTTGCTGTGTATCGTGGTTGTTTGCTGTGTATCGTGGTTGTTTGCTGTGTATCGTGGTTGTTTGCTGTGTATCGTGGTTGCTTGCTGTGTATCGTGGTTGCTTGCTGTGTATCGTGGTTGCTTGCTGTGTATCGTGGTTGCTTGCTGTGTATCGTGGTTGCTTGCTGTGTATCGTGGTTGCTTGCTGTGTATCGTGGTTGTTTGCTGTGTATCGTGGTTGTTTGCTGTGTATCGTGGTTGCTTGCTGTGTATCGTGGTTGCTTGCTGTGTATCGTGGTTGCTTGCTGTGTATCGTGGTTGCTTGCTGTGTATCGTGGTTGCTTGCTGTGTATCGTGGTTGCTTGCTACGTATCGCGGTTGCTTGCTGCTTCTTGCTGCGTCTCACGGCTACAATGTGTAATGGCTGCTGCGGCCACTGGTGGGCCGCAACAGAAAACAGTCGGCGATGCAGAGATGGACGCCGCGCGCGGCGCAAAAGGTCCGCGATCGCTTGTCATGAAGCTTCCGGCAGGCGAGGCAGTCGCATCGCACGGCTGCTTGTTGGGGAAAAGTGGTGATGACGAGCAGCCGCTGCAGAGGGACGCTTCCGCTTGCGCGACGGTGCGGAGCCGACGGCGTCGATGATGTCGTAGAGAAAAGCCACGCGAGTCATGGCCGGGCATGGGCTCGCGTCAGCGTAGAGCGCGCACGCGTTGATGAGCGCGGCGTCCAGAGTCCAATACGAGATGGCGTGCCACCACTTGCGCATCCGCGGCGCCGCAGTGGAGAGCGAGGCGCGCAGGCGCGAGTTGAGGTTGACGCCGCCCATGTGGTCGTTGCACTCCCTGACAATGAGAAGGCAGGGGCGGACGACGCGTTGGCGCTCACTCCGACTCCAGCGTCGCACGGTCGTCTCGGCGAGCATCGACGACATCGTTGAGTCTGGAGGATGAGAGCAGGTTGCCAGGAAACGACACTCGATCGACTCCTTCCACGCCACAACAGCGAGATCGTTGCCCATCTTGCACACATGGGCGTCGCCGGGACGAGCATCGGGCAGCAGGCCCCAGGTGTGAGCCACGCATCGGGCGCGCGCCTCCCGCCTCAAGCCACAGGCCAGGCCGGCGTCGCGCAGTGTCGGCCAGTGACCTGGAAGTCAGCGCGAGAACGCGTCCGAACGACCGTACCGTTTAGGGTTAATCGAGCCACGCCGGAGCTGCTCTGCTGCAAGCCATGCCCTGCTGCAGACTTTGTGGTTTGTAAGGGCGGGCTGTTAGCTCGTCAGTGCTTCCAAGGGAGGTCTGATCACGATGGTCCTTGGACCGCTATCCACCTATGCCGATGGCGATCGCATCTTGGCCGACGCCTTTGATCTGGGACGCCTATCCACATCCAAGGCGACCACATGAGTCGATGTCAAGCTCCCACAGCAGCCATGTCTCCAAGCGAGCCTCACCTCGCTGCTCCCTGTATACGGCTCTTACGCATGACGTGCGTCGAGCCTGCCCAACGGATGTGGGCTGTGGTTGTCACCACCGCTCGCCATGTCAGACAAGATGCCCACGCCGCCGCGAGAGGAGGACAAGACGGAAGGCAAGACCGAGTCGCCACCGGGCACGAGAGGTGGGGCGCCCGAGAGAGGAGGCGGCGAGGAAGGCGAGGGCGGCAAGGTGCTCTTTGCGGTGGCGCTGGTGCTGGCCTGCGGGTGGCTGGTGCTGACCCGGAATCCTGCGACGGGCGTCCACGACATGCCAGCTGCCGTTCTGCACCACTTTGAGTCGGGCGCTCTCGTCCCGATCCGCATGGGAAAGAGGAGGATGGAGATGTTTGTGGCAAGCGCAGGTCCGGTCCGGGCCGAAGAGACGCTGCTGGTCCTGCATGGGGTGCCTGCCTCGTCCTTCTCTTTCCGCAAGGCTCTGCCGCCACTGGCCCGTGCTCTCAACACCGGCAGCCATCGCTCCTTCCGCGTCGTCGCCCCGGACATGCCCGGCCTGGGCCTGTCAGACAAACCGGATCCCAGCGGCTTTGACTACTCCTGGCCGGGCCTGGCCGAGGCCGTCATGGCCACTATCGACGCGCTCCACGCCGAAAAGGTTCATCTCGTCCTGCATGACGTCGGCGGGCCGGTCGGCCTCGAGCTTGCTGCTCGCTATCCGCATCGTGTCGCATCGATCACCCTCCTCAACACTCTCCTTGATCTGGGCCCGTTCTCCCGGCCCTTTCCCATGAACGTCTTTGCAGGCAACCCAGTTGTCGCGCGGGCCCTCTTCAGGACCTTCACCGCCCAGATCCCGCCGCTCACCTGGCTCAACGCCGCACTGTTTAAGTTCCGCGGCGCGGCGTCGATCAGCGTGACCGACACATCTGCTTACGGCTACCTGCTAGCATACAACAATGGGATGGAGCCGTTCCTGGCCATCATGCACGGTTTTAACCTCTCTGCTGACCACACCCAGGTCCTCACCGCCCCGCTGACCTCAGGCGCGTTCCCGGTCGCCTACGTCCCCATCGACGACGACGTTATTCCGGGCCACCAAGCCGAGTTTATCGCCTCGCTCGTCGCCTCGACTGGCGGGCATGTGGTGAGTCCGCCTCTGGCGTCCAAGCACTTTGTGGGTGAGGATGCTCCGGATGCTCTGGCTGATGCAGTCGCGGGCTTTGTCCTCTCGGCAACAACTGCGCCGCCACCGCCGCCGCCGCCCGTCGACAACAGCCACGGACACGGGCACGGGCACGGGCACGGGCACGGGCACGGGCACGGGCATGGGCACGGACACGGGCATGGACACGGGCATGGTATGGGCCACGGATACGGCCTGTAGCTGACCTACTCGTCAGGATCGCCGCGGATGCAAGCCTTGAGCTCCTTCAGCACTCCGATGACGACCGGGAGCGAGATCGGGACAAAGAGCGGCGTGTAAATGGCGTACTTGTGGTCGTCAGGAAAGTAAAGCAGGCCGACAATGCTCTGGTCAAAGAGAGCGCGATCGGCAAGAACGTGGGCGCGGGTGGCAAGGCGAACAGCATCGAGCAGTTGCCCGTGGGTGGCGGCAGCGGCGCGGGCATCGGCGGCGAGCGAGAGCGCCACGCTCACGTCGGCCGCAATGTGGTCCTCCACCACCATGTTAGGGATCGAGTCGACCAGCTCGGTCAGCTGCCGGACAGCGTCAACGGCTTCGGCGGTGAGCGCCCCGACACGCGCGGTAGCGAGCGCGTCCACCTCCCACAGCGCAGCGCCGCGCGAGCCAACAGGCTCGACAAAACCAGCGCCGAGCTCGGGCTCGACTGTCCCCCGCACCGGGCTCCGCAGGCCCAGCAGGCGACGAAGGTGCGCGAGCGTAGTGCCGCGATACGGCGCGAGGTCAAAAGTGCCGTCGGCCGGCGCCACAACTGTGATTGCACCCCAGGTCGGGATGACAAACGCGTTGCCCGGCACGGTCTTGCTACCGGGCCCGCCCTGCAGAAGGCGCAGCGGAGCGAGCTCGTCCGATGGCATGTAATACACCAAGCGCAGCGTCTTGTTGACTTCGGCGCGTGGTGATTCAGTCAGCGTCCACGACGACGCGTTGACAAAGTGTTTCAACTGTGCAGCGTCGACAACCGAGCCACCGCCCTTGACAGCTGTCGGCACCGCGCCGCCGAGCGAGACGTCGTACACCACATGCGAGGCGACCGAGAGTTCGAGCACAGGCGCAAGGCGGGCCACAAATGGCGCCAGCCACGCTGCCATATCCTCAGGATTCCACGCCATCTTGCCGCGCGCCGGATCGACCAAAAGCGTCAGCTCGAGCTGGACCGCCACGTGCAGACCGCCGAGGACTTTGGCCTCGCCACCCCACGCACCATCGACCCAGTTGTAGACAGCGTCAAGCACTTCGACCGCACTACCGTCACCGACGACCTCGATCCGACCGGACCGCTCGCCATCCATGACCACCCGAGCACCCGAGGCCGAGCCATCACCATCAACCATCACCACATCCAGCGCAATGTCGTTGGGCGCAGTGATGCTGGAGTCCGACACATCCGCTCCGGGCTGACCATCATCCGCTTCGGGCCGACCATCATCCGCTCCGAGCCGATCATCATCCGCAGCCACCATGACCAGACACAGGTTCTCCACCGCGTTGCGCCAGTGGTTGTCCGGGATGGCCTCTGCTGCGGCGACGAGGGCATGGACGAGGCGAGCGGTAGTGGAGAGCTCAGCGGCTTGACCACCTTGTGGACGGAGGCGGAGAGTGAGCGGAACGCAGTGCGGGGAAGAAGCGGAGGAGGTGGCGAGGTAGGGGCATGGGTATGGGTAGGGGGAGAGGTAGGGGTGGTGGCTCTGTCCAGTGGACGCAGACTGGTGGGAATGGCTGGGAGGTCCGCCCGGTACACCGTGGTCGTCTGCCACCACACGGGGAGACCCAAGGCGAGGAAGGCCACAAAGGAGGCTACGATCCATGCCTGTCGCCGCATGGGAAGTAGGTGTGTGTGTGTGTGTGTGTGGGGGGGGGGGGGGGAGAGGTGGCGACCGTGTCGCTGGTGGTCGACCGACTCGGCACCGACTCTGGCCAATGCGTGTGTGGGGGCGGGTGGGCGGACGATTTAGCTCTTCATGCATGGGGTGCAGACACGGACAAGGGCAGCAGAAGATGGATCCTTCTGCTTGCGGCAGCAACGGGCGCAGAAGACCTTGTTGCACTTCTTGCACTGGTGCTTGCGCTTGATCTTGGTAAAGGTGGCCTCGCACGACATGCACTCTTCCACGGTGTCGGGATCAACATCTTCGGCGGGCGCGCCGTTGTCGTCGTCAACGGAGCCGGTTGCGGCGGGCGTGTCGTCGTCATCGTCGCCGTCGAGGCCGGCAAAGAGGTCGTCGGCGATCGGTCGCCGCTTCTTGCTGGACGCCTTTCTCGACGAGTTGCGCTTCGGCGGCGAGGGTGCAAGGACGTCGTCGTCGTCAGACTCCATGATGGCCTTGGCCTTGCTTCGGCGCGAGCTTCCGCCGCGCCTGGACGATGTCGACGTCGACTTGTCCTCATCCTTGTCCTTGTCCTTGTCCTTGTCCTTGCTCGACGCTCCTGTCTTGGGCTCACCGCGCTTGCGGTCATCGTCGCGCTTGCGGTCGCGGTTGGAACGGCTCGACCGCGACGACGGACGCTCCTTCTCGGCCTTGTCGTCCTTATCACTGGCATCCTTCTCACGCTTGCGGTCGCGGCTGGAGCGACTCGACCGCGATGCCGGGCGGGCCTTCTCGGCCTTTTCATCCTTTTCGGCAGCGTCTTTGTCGCGACTGCGGTCGCTGTCGCGGCTCCGCTTGTCGCCGCTGCGGCGGCTCTCCCGGTCGGTATCGGGCTCAACCTCGGCGTCGCGGCGCGATGAGCGTGACGAACGCGATGAACGCGGGCGGTCACTCTCCTTTGCCTCGTCCTTGCTCTCGCCGCGGCGCGACGAGCGCGACGAGCGTGACGAGCGCGGGCGGTCGCTCTCAGACTCAGCCTCGGCGTCGCGGCCGCGCGACGACCGGCTCTTGCGACTCGACTCGGGCTTCTCATCCGGCTCGCCAAACGGGTCATGGGCAACCTCGACGACTTGCTCGTCGCGGCTGTCACGGTCGCGGTCATCACGGCCGCGGCCGCGGTCGCGACGATCGCCACGGTCGCGGTCGCGGTCGCGGTCACCGCGGCGAGAGCTGCGGTCGCTCTTCTCGCGACGGTCACCGTCACGGTCACGGTCGCGATCACGGTCACGGTCATCCTTTTTCTCGCGACGGTCACGGACCTCGCCCTTGTCGCGACGGCTGCTCTTCTCGCGACGGTCGTTGCGGTCACGGCCGGCGTCGCTCTTGTTATCATCGCCACCGTCTTCGGCGTCGAGGACCGCAAACGGATCCTCGACGTCGCCGCCGCCATCCTCGGCAGCCTCCATAGCGGCAAAGGGGTCGTCCTCGTCGTCGTCGTCGGCGCCAGCAATAGGCATCGGCGCCGGCGTGGTGGCAGCCGGCGGCTCCTCCATGACCCCGCCCTTTTTGACAACCTCACGGACCTCTTCGACGACGCCCTTGAGGTCGGCGTGCTGCTGCTGCATGGCCTCGCGGGTGACAGCCTGCTCGGCGAGCGTGGCGGCGGCCTGCTCCTGAATAGCGGCTGCGAGCTTGGCCTGCTCCTCCATCTGCGCCTTCTGCAGCTCGAGCAGGCGTTGCTGCTCCTTGAGCTGGGGCGTGTTGTCGTACGCGGAAAAGTCAGTCGAGCCCTCGCCCTCGGTCTCGCGCAAGAGCTGGGCCTGCTCGACCGCGCCCTTGCCGAGCTGGCTAAGCGACTCGGCGATGGAGGCGACAGCCGCGGCCGACTGGTTGACCTTGGAGTTGAGGTCGACAATCATCATCTGCTCCTCGTCGAGCATACGAACAAGCCGCTTGATGCGCTCGTCGCGCGCGTTGACCGTTAGCTGTGACGACCGGTGGGCCCGCTTCTCGTCCTCGAGCTCGGCCAGCGTCGCCTCGAGCTTCTCGTTGATGGTCTCGAGCTGCTTGTTGACCAGGTCACGCGAGGCGAGGGCAGCGTTCTTCTCGCCAACTGCAACGTCCAGCAGCGCCTCCTGCTCCTTCTGCAGGGTGACGGCGGCGTTGAGCTGGTCAAGCGTCTTGTTGCGCGAGTCGATGAGCGACTGGCGCTCGGCGAGCGCCTTGCGCATCTCGACTTCAGCCTGCATCTTGGCTTCCTGGTGGGCCGAGACATCGACGCGGAGCTTCTCCAGCGCCGCCTCCATGTCTGCGGCGTGCTGGATGTCGCGAGCCTTGAGCGTGGCCGCGTACTCGTCTTTGAGCGGCTGCATGGCGTCGGTGTGCGCCGTGTTGAGCTCGGCGATCTTCTTCTGGTGCTGGAGGTCGATCTCCGCCAGGTCGGCAGCGTGCTTGACAACGGCAGCCTTGAGCTCTTGGCGGAGGTCCGTCACCTGGCTCCGCAGCTCGTCGACGGTCTTGTCGGCAACCTCGACAGCCTCACGCATGGCCTTCTTCTCGCCGGCGTACGCGTTGAGCTCGGTCTCCAGCGCCTCCTTGTCGAGCTTGAGCAGGTCGCGTTCGCGGGTCATCTCGTCGTAGATCCGCCGCATCTCCTGCTCCGAGCCGACAGCGTCGGCGCGCGCAGACCGCTCGTTGTCGGTCGCGGCGCGGAGCTCGGCAAGCTCGGCCTGCTTGGTCTTGATGTGCTTGCGGAGCTTGGCTGCTGCTGCCTGGCTCTTTTCCAGCTTGATCTTGTACTCGTCGAGCTGCGCCTCGAGGCTCTCGACCTCCTCCTTCAGCTCAACCTTTTGTGCCTCGTATGCGTCGGCGCGCGCCTTGGCCTTTTGCAGCGACAGCTCGAGGCCCTCGACCTTGGACTCGAGCTTGCGGGTCTCCGACTCGGCGGCGAGGACGTAGTCGAGGTGCGCCTGCTTCTCCTTGCGCAGCTCCATCTCGGCGTCGGACGCGAGCTTGGAGACGCGCTGGAACTCGAGCGACATGTTGCGCGCGTTCTTGTCGAGCTCCTTGTGCGCGTCGCCGACCGCGCGGTACCCTGCGCGCTCGCCGTCGAGCAGCGCCTCGGCGCGAGCCAGCTTAGTAGTCACGTCGTTGAGCTCGCGCTCAAAGTTGGCCTTTGGTGCTGCATGTCCTTGCGGATCTCTGCCAGCTCGAGCTCCAGCCGCGCGCTCTTCTTCTCCTCCATCTGCAGGTTTGAGTTGGCGGCGAGGACCTGCTGCTCAAGCTTCTGGATCTCAGCCTTGGAGTGGATGTTGAGCTCCATCGACTCGGCCCGCGACTCGCGCTCGAGCGTAGCCAGCGCCTCGCGCGCGGCCTTGAGCTCGCTCTTCAGCTGCGCAATAGTCCCGACGTTTGACGACGCGCCCACAAGCGTGGCCGCGTTCGACGCGTACGAGCCAGACTCGGCTGAGAGCCGCGCCTCACGCTCGCGCTCGGCCCGCTGTTCGGCCTGCGTAATCTGCCGCCGCAGGTCGGCCTTCTCGTCGTTGAATCGATCAGCCGCCGAGTCGACCCGCCGCTGCAGCTCGGCGTTGGTCCGCTCCAGCTCCGAAACCCTCATCATTGCCATCTGGTGCTGGTTGCGGAGCATGGCGACTGACGAGTCGTCCATACCCATGGCGCCCATGCTCCCCATGGCGCCCATGCTCCCCATGGCGCCCATCGAAGACATCGACGAGACCGAGTCGAGCGAGGCCTGCAGACGCGCGCTCTTCTGCTTCTCCTGCACCAACTGCTCCTTGGTCCGCTCCAGCTCGGTCCGCACCGCGTCGAGCTCCTTCTTGGCCTTGGCCAAATCGCGCGAGAGCTTGGCGTTCTCCTCCAGCGACTGGGCCGTGTCGAACGGGAGCTCGCCAGCATGGGTCGCCTTCCACAGCGCAAGCTCTTGAACCGCCTCATCGCGCTCGACCTCGAGCAGCAACGCCCGCCGCCGCTCCGCGTCCAGCATCCCGTTCAGCCGGCTCTCGGTTGCCTCGGCCTCGGCCGCAGCCTCGGCCTTCTCCTCGGCCAGCTCGGTCTTCTGGCGGTCGAGCGTGCGGATGCGCTCCATGTACATGGTAGCATCGGCACCTCCACCACCCATACCACCCATTCCACCCATGCCGCCCATACCAGACATGCCGCCCATGCCGCTCATGCCGCCCATGCCAGACATGCCGCCCATGCCCATGGACGAGTACATGTCGGAGAGACCGCCCGAGGAGAGCATCAAAGCCGACGACGACGAGTACTTTGCAGTGGACGAGTTTGCATACGGATTCTTATACTCGTCACCCATCCTATGCCCATTCTCTTGTTAAGTCTCTGTCCCCTCCTCGTTCTCCATACCCCCCCCCCACCAACCACCACCCCCTCCCCTCCAAAAATTGCCCCCCTCCCCCCCCTTGGCTCCTGAGCGCTCCTCCCCTGATCCGCCCCCCCCCCCCCCCGCCCCCCGCCCTCCCTCACTCCCCCCTCCCCTGTCCCCCCCTTTGCACGCTCATGGCACATACCTGTTCCCGTGTGGTTGTTAGCCGCAACTCAGGGGTAGAGACAGGTAGTCGTGAACTATGTTGTCTTTGTCCTGTCTCCCATCTCTAGCCGTGCAGGCCGTCTGTCCCCCCTCGTTCCCCTTCTTGGCTAGTCCTGTCTCTTCGTGGTGCTCGTCGCCTGCCGTTTCGGTCACGTGCGAGGGCTGGCGGTGAATGGCGGCGTCGATGGCCATCACATCCAACAAGGAGTTTATCGTATCACTCAGTCCTCCTCATACAGGGCAAGAAACAGACGCAAAGACCTTGTCGAGACAAGGGCTCGGCTTGAGCATCGGATCCCACCTTTTGAGGGGACCGTGGGCCGGTCCGCGGCCGAGCTTCCGGCTGCAAGGGAGGATTCCCAACATGGGATCTACAGATTGCCCGACTGCCAGCCGGAGAAGGGATGGGATGGAAAGTACCGGCGCAGTGGCGGCAGCCGATGAGCACCAGGCTGTGCGGTCTCGGCCTCACAGCCTCGACCTGCGGTCGCTCGATGGGCTCAGAAGAGCGGATCCTGCTTGCCCGAGAGCAGAAAGTCGCGGGCCTCGTTGACCTTTGAGGCGACAAAGGTGGAGCCACCGTTGTCGGGATGGTTGAGCAACATGAGCTTCTTCCACGCCTTGGTGATGTCCTTCTTGGACGCCGACTGCTTGATGCCGAGAATGAGGGCCGCCTCCTTGCGGGTCATGGCCTCCTCGAACCCGCCCGGATACGAGCCAGCGCCAACAGTGCGAGAGAACCACGGCTTGCGTGCCGATGCCGGCATGGCCTTCCACTTCTGATACGCCGGGATGGCAAACCGGAGGCCGATTGCCGCCGACGCCACCGTCATGCCTGCCGCCAGTGCCAGAGCCTGGCGCGTCCCTCACCGCCACGTTCCGCCACGTTCCACCGTCCAGCCACCGTAATTGCCACCGCCCATGAGTCCCACTCGGTTTACCCTCTACCGCCCTTCTCCCACTACCCCTCGCCCTCCTCGCCTGGCCGCATCCTCCCTCAGGCTCTTGCTACCCACCACACCGAGGCATGTCGGCCAGCTGCGGGATGAAGCGCACATTGGGCGACTCGACCCGGTTCCCCCCTCGCCTCCCCTCGCCTCCCCCCCCTCCGAGCTCACTTTCCCTCGGCTTCCCTCCACGTACCATAACTTGTCTATGTCTGTTGTTGTTCTTGTCTGTCTGGGGGTGTCTCGATGGGTCGAGAGAGTTGAGTAGTAGTGCCTGACGGAGGCGGAGGTCGCTGCTGATCATGATCACCATCGTTAGCAATGATCGTTACCGTGATCACAACCACGATCACAACCATGATCACCATCGTTAGCAATGATCACAGCCATGATCACAACCATGATCACCATCACAATCGTGAACAACACAGACAACGCAACCCTCCCCCCCCCCCCCCCCCCTCCCACTCCACACTCCACCCACTACCCCCCACCCTTCTCCTCTCACATACACACACATGCCCGGTATCCGGGTTGCACCATCTGGTGACCCTCCGGACGGTCGGTTCGACTCGTACCTACCACACGCATACCGAGCCGAGGTGCTACCGGACCTCCAGCTGCTGCAAGACCAACAGGCGGGTCGGCGAGGTGGTGGCCGAGGCGGAGGTGGTGATGGCGGCGGAGGTGGGAGTCAAGGACAAGGCTCTGGTGGTGGTGGTGGTGGTGCTGCTGCCAACGGAGGCGGTGGAGGCGGAGGTGGTGGCGGTGGACGGCCGGCGGGTGCTGGTGGTGCTGGCGCGAGCGGGCAGGTTGAATCGGGCCTGCCAGGCGGTGGGAGGCGCCAGTCGGTGTCGCACGCCCGCCGATCTTCGGCTTCGTTCCTTCATCCGCACTCGCTGCCGTCGATCGGCTCTGGTGGTGGTGGCGGCGGCGCGCTCAACCACTCGAACGGCTTTATGGGTCCGGTCATCTCGCGCGGCTCATCAGGGTCACTCTCGCGTGATGTCTCGCGGGCAACCGCCGCGTCGCGGGTCGCTCATGAGCGCGAGTATGACCGCGAGCGACACACGACCGGCTCGACATCGGTGTCGAACCTGGCGTCTGGCTCGGGCTCCAACTTTCACCTCTCGTCGTCACCGGGAGAGTTCTCGTCACTCCCATCGCCGCGGCGCAGCGGGAGTGGCCCCGAGATGTCCAACGACCGCTTCCCGGCCTTCTGCTGCTTTCCTTCGCTTGCCATCCATCCTTTGACGCTCAGGTTCAAAGAGCAGATGGAAATCGACTACATGCACTTTGCGTGGCGGACGTCACAACTTGTCCTCCGCATTGCGCTTGTCTCGACCATGGTTGCCTTTGTCGTCCTCATGATCCACGATGCGCTTGTTGCCAAGACCTCGCTCGTCTTTGTGGTCCTCATCCGCACCGGTGTATTGATCTACACCGGCGCGCTCCTGGCACTCACGTACTGGGTTCCAGCGCGTTCTCTTGTCGCTCCGGTGGCCGCCATCGGCATGTACCTTGCCGGCTTATCGATGGTTGTTGTCCGGCTGGTCGGCGAGGACACCGAGCCGGACGTCACAGTGCTCGTTGTCATCGCGGCCGGCTACTTTTTCCTCGGCCTCCCCTTTGGCACTGCCATGGTCTCCGGCGCCGGGCTCGCCGTCTCGATGATTGTCTTTGCCCTGGTCGTTGACGAGGTTGTCGACGTCCGTCTCGTCACGCTCTCGCTCTTCCTCATTGCCTTTCTCGCCCCTGTCATCCTCTCGCACTACCAGCAGACGCTCTCGACTCGCCGTGCCTTCCTCGCCCTCATCCGCATCGAGCGCGAGAAGCAGCTGGCGCAGTACGAGCGGGCCAAGGCCGAGAAGCTCCTCCTCGCGCTGCTCCCGGCACCTGTGGCCACCAAGCTCAAGGCACCGGCACAGGAGACCGCGCTCATTTCCTCGCGCTTCTACTCGGTCACTATTATCTTTGCCCGCCTCGAGAACTTTACCCGCGACCACCGCCATCTCCAGCCTTCAGCCTTTGTTGGCACGCTCAACACCGTGTTCTCGACCTTTGATGACCTTGCTGAGGCGCATGGGCTTGAGAAAATCCGCACCGTCGGCGAGACGTACATTGCCGTTGCCGGCCTGCCGGAGACTTGCGCCGACCATGCGTCGCGGTCAGCGGCGTGGGCGTGCGCCGTCCTCGACGCACTGCCCGGCCTTGCGGCCTCGCTCGAAACAAAGCTCAAGCTCCGGATCGGCCTCAACTCGGGAGCTGTTGTGGCAGGCGTGGCAGGCGTCTCCAAGTTTTGCTATGACCTGTGGGGCGACTCGGTCAACATGGCCCACGCCATGGTCACCCATGGCTCGGACTCGCGGGTTCACCTCACCCGCTCCACGCTCAAGGAGCTGCTCTCGGACGCGACGTCGTCGTACCAGCCGTACAAGTTTATTTCGCGTGGCATCTGGCGTCTCGATGCCCGCGGTCACCTCGAGTCGTACTACCTCGTCCGCAACGCCAACCCGCAAGTGGCACAACCGGTCCATCTGTCCAACTCGACGTCGCTCAACGGGCCGCCGCCGCCGACGCTCAACGTTGTCGCTTCCATGTCTTCGGGCTCGGTTTCGGGCTTGCTCAACACGACCCGCGTCGGGCCCGAGTCGTCGGCTTCGGGCGAGATGTATCCTTCGGGCATTACCGTCGCCAACGCGCGGGCCATCGAGCGTGTCATGCCTGCCCTCGACGACGAGTACGACTCGGGCTCCGAAATGGATCCGCCGCCGTCGGCAGTGCCCACCACTCCCGCCGCTATGGCCAAGCTCAACCCGGCCTCGGCCAACAGGCTCTCTACCCACCCTGCATCGTCGCACGTCCCCGCTGGGACCGAGTCGTCAACCTCGGCCTCAGTCTCGGTCTCGGCCTCGATGGCCGCGAGATCTCGCACTCGGAACAGCAGCAGCAGCACCTGAAGGTTGCGACGTCTGGATCCAACGGCGACGGCCAAGGTCTCTCGCTCTCGTTCTCCGGCAACTCGACAACGTCGCAGATTGTGATTAAGACAGCACACGCTGCTGCCGGCGGCGTCCCGCACGGGCTCAACCCACCCCAGCTCGAGTTGGCACCACCGTCAGCCTCGACCGACCAGCCGTCGTCGTCCGGCCTCAGCCCAAGATCGCTGTCGTCGGACTCGGTCTCCTCGTCGAGCTCGCACTCGTCAGTAGTGGCGCATGGCGAGGGCAGGAATAGGAAGCTGGCACAACCTTACTCGTCTTCCTCCTCGTCTTCTTCTTCCTCCTCCTCCTCGTCGACGACGGCAACGACGCCATCGTCAGCACGCCGCCGCGCTGCCTTTGGCCTTCTGTCTGACTCGGGCTCGCGGATGGCATCGTCAACCAATCCGTCGTCGTCGCGGTCGTCGGGCAAGGCCAAGCTGCCGGTGGCAACCAAGCCGCCGCGGGCCCCGGCTACTTTGGGCGAGCCACCGCCGGCGCCATCTCCGGCGTCCCTACCATCGGCGCACCACCAGGCCATGCCGGTCGAGCCGCCGCTGCTGCCGCACTCGCCGCTGCCGCTGGGCCGCTCAGATGGTATTTTCTCCAACATGCCGTCTGCGCGGACAGATGTCACGACTGCCACGGGTGTCACCTCGTCGACCGATGGCGTTCTTGCGCTGCCTTCCTCGATGTTTGTTGGCAGCGGCGCTAGCGTTTTTCGCAGCCCTGGTTACCATGGCGTGTCGTCGGGATCAATGGGCGTCTCATCGGGCTCGACACTGCCGTCTGTCTCTTCTGCACTCACCTTTGTGGCCCATTCATCGGGCTCGACTGTGGCTGCTCCGTCATCAGGCTCGTCGCTCCCCGACGGCCACTCGCTTGCCAACGCAAGCAACACCAAGTCGGCGGGCACGCTGCCGACGCGGGCGTCAGAGGTCTCGGCTGGGCCGGAGCAGGCCGACGCGACGTCCCTGACTCAGCTGGGCCAGACACTGCCGGCCGATCCAGTGAGCCAGGCAGAGTTTGCGCGTGCGGCGACGCGTGCAGGCGAGTCCAAGAACGTGATAAGCCCGCAGCTTTCGGGCTCGCGGTCGACGTCCAAATCGGGCGCATCGCTTACAACCTCGGTCTCGCCGCGGTCCGATCCAAAGATGTCGGGCTCGGGCGGCTCGCTCAAGTCGGCCAAGTCGACGGCATCGGTGACGTTTGCGGCCAAGGCCAAGATGGTCAAGCCGCGGGCATCGGGTGCGCCGACCGACTCGCTGGTCTCAACGCCTCGGTCAGTCGATCTTGTCGACGTGAGGCAGAACTCATCCCGGAAGAGTCGGGGTGGGACGTCGTCGCTCCTCTCATCGTCATCGGACTCGATGCTGGACTACGGCGAGCAGGAAGAAGAGGTTGACGACGACTACGGAGATGAATCATTGGATATGTCGGGAGGGCTGCGGCTGCCCAACTCTGATGCGGCGAGCTCTGCGGCCAAGCCGCCGCGGCCGCCCCACTACCGGTCTCAGTCACCGGACACGGTGTCGACAGACATGCAAGGGACGGGTGGCGCAGGCATTGCTCGCTTCTCCGAGTCATTCAATCGGCTCACCAGCAACTCGATCGCCTCGATCGGCGGCGGCCTCAGCTCGGGCAAGCGGTCGCTCTCGCTGGCAACACGCGACGCGGCCAAGGTGCGGTTGCAGCGCGGCGAGTCGTCGTCGTCGCTCCAGCGGCGAACGTCGTCGCTCGGCAATCTGCTGGAGGGATCCAACCCGGGCGGTAACGTGTCCAACGTCGAGGTAGTGCTCATGCGGTTCGACGACCAGGGCGGTAAGCCGGCGTACGAGATTCTGCCCAAGGCGGCGACGGCGTGTTCGACGTCGCGGACGGCGACGCCGACGATTCTGACGACCACGACAGACTCGCACACGCCGGTGGTAGGCCGTAAGAGCTCACTGTCGACGCCAGTCTCACCGCAGGCGATGCTGCTTCGGCGTGAAGCAACACCGCCGTCACTCTTTACCACGCCGGGAAGCTCGCGGTCGGCATCCGCCAACACACTCATTGCAGCACGACCGCGCCCGCTGCCGCCGACCGCGCTGCCTTCGGTCGGCAAGAATGTCCGTGTAGCACACGCCCGGCACTTGGAGGAGCTCTCGCGTTCCCGCTTCAAGCTCGGCAAGGTCTCGCACCTCATTCCGACGGCGTCGCTTCGATTTGAGAGTGGCCTCGAGGCGCAGTACCAGGCGGCGACGACAGGCGAGCATCCGATCCGGCTGCTTTCGCTGCTCGCGACTGGCACGGTGCTTGTGCTCATTCTGGGCGCGCTCGACACGCTGCACGCCGTAGCGCCGCTCTCTGCATCGTCCAAGGTCTTCCACCTCTTTCCGACGCTGCTCTGGTTTGGAGTGGCGTTCCCACTCATGCTCACGCTCATGATTATGGTGGGGACACAGCTTGCTCCACTGGCCAGGCACCCGATGCATGTCATTCTCCTCATGCATGCGGTTCTCACCTCGTTTGTGTTTATCTCTTCGACGACGTCCGAGGCGCCAGCGACGCTGAGTCCTCCGTCGCCGCTCGCGCAGTTGGGCTCGTTCTTTCCGGCACGGGTGGCTCTACTGATGCTGTTCATGGCGTCGACGGCGGTGCCTGTAGTCTCGTTTATGCACACAGCCGTTGTGCTGCTCCTCACCTCGCTTGCGTTTGTGGTCGCTGCGCTTCGGGTCTCGCATCTTGACGCCAGCTACGTGCACATCGTGTCTGTCCTTACGACAGCGATCGTGTCGGCAATCATGGCGTACACAATTGAGTACGCCCACCGACGCGCGTTCCTCTACGAGTGGATGACGGCGACGGAGCAGTCGCGGACGTCGAACGAGCGGGTCAAGGCCAATGAGCTGCTCTTCAACATCCTACCCAAGCCGATTGCGCGCGAGGTGGGCCGGCTGCTCTCACTGCCGCGACTGCCATCGCAACGCTTTGCCATGGATGCCCTGCTAAGCGAGCCACTTGGACGGAGCGACTTGTGTTCGCGCACTTCCGGTCCACCGACTGAGCTCCTCGGCACCGGGCTCATAGCGGCGTCGCATCCAATGGCTACCATGATTGTGGCCGACGTTGTCGGCTTTACCCGGCTCGCGTCGCGGCTCGACCCGGCGGAGCTCATCCTCCTCCTCAACCGCATCTTCAACGAGTTTGACCGCATTGCCGCACACTACAACCTGGAGAAGATCCGCACAGTCGGGGATGCGTATATGGCGGCCGCCGGCTTCCCGCTGGAGCGGTCGAACCACGCCGAGCTGGTTGTCAATTTTGCGCTCGACGCCCAGGAGCGGATGGCGGTCGTCTCGGAGCACTTTGGCTACGCCAACATCGAACTCACCATCGGAATCCACTCGGGGCCGGTCGTGGCCGGAGTCATTGGCAGGCGCAAGTTTGCCTACGACGTCTGGGGCCGACCGTCGAGGTCGTCGAGTTTACAGAGCAGCACGGTTACGCCGGTCTTGTGCATCTCACCCAGACAACCAAGGACCTCCTCCCGCAGTCGCAGTACTCGTTCACCAACCCACGGACGCTCCAGGTTCCTCACGGCAACACCATCCGTACCTTTATTTGCAAGCGAAAGCGCCAATGAACCCATCATGTTCGCATGCCTGCCCTCCTCCTCCCCGTTTGGGCGCTTGCACCTGATTCAGCACCCGCTTTCGGCAAAGAGTGCCATCGTTCCATTGGTTCGATCCCCAGCAGTGTGCCTTCACCACGCCCAGACAGGCTACGGCCAAGGGCATCTCTTCCTCAAACCCTCTTCCTCCTCCCCCTCTCTTTCCTCACCCACCCATCTGTCTCTACCATGCTCTCTGTCTACCTCGATGCAGAGGGAGTCTCTCGCGAGCAGACGCTGGTGGAGGTCAATCTCTCCCCACTACCTTCTGTCGACGACGTCCTCGATGCTGCAGAGGCCGTGATGGGACGTCGTGTTCTCGTCGGCTACGTCTTCAACCGCCAGCAGCCCATCCGTGCCATGCACACACTCTCCTTTGATGACGCCCCGTCTCGGCCGCATTTGACATCGGCCGATGATCAGATCTCGTCCATCTCGCTCGCCCCCCGCATCGCCTGGTCGGACACGTGGCTCATCATCGCTCCAGCCGATGCACATCGCCGGGCCAGGCTCAGCCCCTGCCCCGTCTACCTCATTCTCTACTGGATCTGTTGCCTCGTCTGCGTTGTCGGCATCGACGGCGGTATCGACATGTCCTGCACTCTCTCCGCTCGGCCTCGAGCGACTGACGTGCCATCACATCCAGGCCGTAGCCAACGGCACAGCTGCGCTGGTCGTCGTTCTCCATCCGTCGTGGGAGCTGGTGGATCCGCAGCAGGTACGATTGCAGGCGGCGGGCGGCGGAGGAGCAGCGCAAGCCGCCCGCTTTGCGGTCGAAGTGGTCCGCAGCGGTACCGTTCCGCTTCTCACCGCTAGCATTGACGTCGATCTGGAGCTGGCGACCACGCTCGATGAGTTCAGCCCGGGCTCGGCGTGGAAGCTGTTTGAAGATCAAGTGGCCAGCGCGCTGGGACTGGATGCGGTAGTGGTGAAGGCGCCCAACGGGGCGACGCTCAGGCAGATGGAGAAGCTGCAGCCGGGGCTTCGGTATGCTGTGAGCCGGCGGCCAGTCGTAGTTGATCTCACCGCCGCCAGTTGGAGCGAGAGCGACAGCTACAGCGATGATGACCGCGATCTATTTGTTTGCCGTGCTCCGCGCACTGTTACGACGCTCCGTCGCCTGTGTGTGGAGATGGTGGCAAGTGACAGCCAGCGGTGGCCGGAGGAGGTTCTCCAGCGCGAGTTTGCCAGCAACGAACGGTGCCTACAGCTTGTTCAAGATCATCGTGCTGCGTTTTGCAACGATGACGACGTGGTGTGTGTAGCCGGGCCCTCGGGTGGAGGTGCGAGCTGTGAGGCGGCGGCTGTGTTCAGTGCTTCGTCTCAGGACGCACTCTCACAGTTTTCGGCGGGTATGGACGAGCTGCTGGCGCCGACGCGGGCAACCGGAGCGGTCTTTCACGTGGGTGCCGACTCGCAAGTCGACCTCGACGCGGCCTTTGCACGGTCGCTGTGGGAGGCCGAGCAAGATCTCATGCGCAAGGCGCAGGAGCAAGAAGCAGCAGATGCCGCTTTCGCGCGACAGTTGGCGGCGCAGGTGGCCGAGGCCGAAGCAGACGTGGCAGCGGCGGCGGCTGACGCCGAGCTGGCACGCAAGATTGCACGCAAAGAGCGCGAGCGGCTGGTGGCTCAAGAAGCGGCGTCTCTCAAGCTGGCGCGCGAGCTGGAGCGCGACGAGGCGCGGCGAGCGAGCCAAGAGACGCGGGTGGCTAACGATGCAGCCATTGCGCGCGAGCTGGCGGCCGAGCTGGAGGCGGCCGAGAAAGAGCGGCGTGCGCGCGAGGCACAGCGGCGCAAGCAGGATGCAGACGCGCGGCTGGCGGCACGGTTGGCGGTAGAGGAGGCCCAGCGAGCTGCTGCGGCCGCCCGGAGGGGGGAGGTTGTTCCATCGGCGCACTCCTTCACGCTCGACTCGTCGATGCAAGACCTGAGGGATACAGGAATTCTGGCTGCACTGCGATCAATATCGTTCCCGCCGGGCTCGACGCTGGAGATGGTGATCCGGCCCGAGCTGCTGAAACGGTTTCGGCAGCGCCGACGCGCATACGAGGCGGCGTACGGCGACGCGCGGGCCCAGCCTGTGGTGGCGTTCCACGGGACGAGCCAGAACGCGGCGGGCGGGATCACGGAGAAGGGCTTCTTGATGCCAGGTACAGTGGGTGCACGTAACGGCGCGATGTACGGTCGCGGCATCTACGCCTCGCCCGAACTCAACTTTGCCTGCAAGTACTCGCGCGGAGCAGTTCTGGTTGCTGTCTGCCTCCTCGGCAACGCTGTGGTCATCGACAACAAGGCGCAAGTCTCGCGGAAGGGGTGCATCAGCGGATACGACTCGCACGTCTCGGCCGACATGAAGCAGTATGTGTTCTTCAACGTCTCCCAGATTCTGCCGTGTTTTGTCCTCCGCTCCGGCTCGAACGGGGCCTCGTTTGGCGGTTCTGGCGTTGTCGCCGACACTCCGTCGTTCCTCTCCACCGCGACGCGCAACTCGCATCTTAGCACCAAGCGCAACGCTCGAGCCAGCCGCAAGCGCCAGAAGCGCAACTTGCCACATCGCTAAGTAAGACCATGATGACCAGCCATGATTCTGTTGCCATCCCGCCTTCACCAACATGCGGCCATGGCAACTGATCGGGCGGTTACGGACCAACCAAACCGCAGAACAGACACAGGCCGCCGCCCATTGCGGCACAACAGGCTTCGGTGCGAGTTCAGCCAGGGCCAGACTCTGCCAGCACAAGCAGAGTCACACACAACACACGACGCCACAACAACCGACACCACGTCCGGCCATGTCACCCACAACCCTCATGGGGTGCATCCTTCTGGTGGTAGCAGGTGTGGTGGTGGAGTTAGCGACGGGCAGTCGGTCGACATGCAGCAGCTCTGGTAGCTGTGGCGAGTGTCTTGCTCGGCCACGGGCGCTCAATTGCATTTGGTGCAGCAATGAGGTGACAGGACGTGGAGAGTGTATGCCCATCAACTCGGATGGCTCCACACGTTGCTCTGCTCCTGATGTCATTCATACCGGTCTCTGTCCCTCGGGAGAGCAGCCTGGTCGTGGCGGTGATTCCATGTTTGCCGTCGGCGGTCAAGACGAAGCTCGTGCTGGCGTTACTCATGGCTACGTCGGCATCGTTGTCCTTGTCGCCATCCTGCTCGTCTGGAAACTCTGCTTCAAGTCGTGGTGCCTCTCTATGAGCAAGGGCGGTATGGCTAGTCATGCTGGCTCCTCCCGCGATCCAAAGGAGCTCCATCGCGTTCGCTCCTCAGTCCGCACACGCGTCGCTGCTCGCGCCCTCCGCCATCGCCGCAAGGTCCTCGGCAAGCAAACCGACGGCGAGGCCTTTTCTATCCTCTCCGACGACACTGCCGCATATCTCGACAACGACGCCGCGTTTGACATCGACGCCAGCGACGCAGACAACAACATGGTCAAGGCGCTTGACGTCCTGAGCCCCGAGCTCAAATCGAACAAGGCCCCCGCCTTTGATGCGTCGGCCAACTCGGACTCTTCCGCCGCTGCACCCGCCCTGGCCACCTCCCCAGCTTCATCGGCCTCGTCCCAGTCTGTCTCTTCCTTCTACGCCACGTCGTCGTCCCCGTCGTACTACTACGAGAGCTAGTGAGCCAAGTATTCATTGAACAAACCCAACGCAGCCGACCTGGCTACTTGCTGATCGGCTAGCTTGTCGCTCTGGCTGGCTGGCTGGCTGGGTGGAGGACACCGCTCGACAATCCCATTCCGCCGCGACATTGCCGGAACCCCTCCCCTCGCTGCCAAAGGCCGAGTCAACCATTCCTTCCGCCGCCCGACAGTGTTCCTCAACGCGAGACGGCGAGTCGGCGACTACGCACATCACCTCCCTCGCAGAGAGCAGAGTCAGTCTACTTCTGCAGGGCCATGGCGGCAAGTCACAGCAGAAGACGATGGGCGTCCACGGCCGTGTCACCTTCTCGCTTGCTGGTGGCCACCGTGGCGGCTGCCAGTGTCCTGCTGCTCGCCCAACTCGCCTGTGCACCACCACCACCACCACCACCACCATCGTCATCATCATCATCGTCATCATCATCATCATCATCATCCGTACCATCGCCATCTCTCCCGTCCATATCGTCGTCGTCTCCCTCGCCGCCACCGCCACGGTCGTCGTTCCCGCCACCTCTGCAAGTGTCCTTTGCGAGTCGGCGACGCCGGTGTACGAGCCCGAGCCGCTGGCAGCAGGCATGCTCTCTACGCCGCATCCTTATCCGGACAAGTTGCGGTGTAGTTGGACGCTGACATCGTTGTATGAGAGTGGCTCGGTTCGCATTGATGCCATGCCCTGGATCGCTGCCCCTTCCTCAAGAATCAAAATGCCCGATGGCTATCCGTTTGCCACAGAATGCGGGTGGGACTTTGTGGCGGTCTATGACGGCCGCGACGTCTCTGCTCCGCTCATCGCCATGCTCTCGGGATCGTATGGCTCTGGCTCTGCTGCCGAGTTGGAAGACGGCCCAGTCGCCGGGAGCGATGACGTACCCGGCTCGGAGGAGCCTCGCCGCTTCCCGCACATCGCATCAACCGGGCGGTCTCTCACTGTTGTTTTTGAGTCGGACTCGTATGTCCACTCTTGGGGCCTTGCGCTCAACTTTACCTCGTCGCCGTGTCCGGGCGATTGCTACGGTCAGGGCAAGTGTTCGAGCAACGGAACATGTGTGTGTAATGAGGGCTACGGCGGACGTGACTGCTCAGAGCGGCATCCGACTGCGCTTCCGCTCCCGCTCTGCTCCGACTGCGCGTGCCCGCGCGCATATGCGCCCGATACCGCCGAGTGGGCTGGATCCGGTATTCGGCAGGGACTCCGGCTTGCGACCACATGTGATGCCAGCGCGCTGCTACATAGGGTCTGCACCGTCTGTGCCTCGCACTCGTTTGCAGGTCGGGTCAACGCCTCGCACCCACTCACGCTCCTCTCACTCGACGGCTGTTCAATGCGCGAGATGAATCAACCGTCGGCGCGCGGCGTGACCGTCACTTTCCTGGTTGTGGGCTTTGTCGCCCTTGCCACACTCATCACCGTCTTTGCGCTTGTTGGCTACCGCGTGGTCAACACGCTCGAGCCGCGCGCGCGTCCGCGCTCAACGCGCGCCGCGCGCCGCCGTCGCCGCCGCGAGGGCGAGCTTCGCGCCCGCGCGCGCCTCAGCAGGCGCATCCCACTCATTGTTGTCGAGATGAGCGCGTCTTCGCCTCCCACAGCATGTATCGAATACACGGTGCCGGGCTCGACAATCGACTCGGAGCTGACCAAGCACGTTATGGCTGTTGTCATCCAGCATCCAACCCTCAATCCAAAGCTGGCGCCGCCAAAGCAGACCTTCTCGTCGTCGCCGGCGGCGACGGCGCAGACCCAGGTTGGTTGGCAGGCCTCTGTCTCGTCGAGCTCGTCGACAGCCAGCCTCGATGCCGCGCTCACAGGCATCCATCCGGTCGGACGGAGGGCGCCAGCATCGTCCGAGCTAGGCAGCTCGTTGAGCTCGGTGTCGTCGTCGTCATCGAGCTCGGTCGACTCACGGTCGGCGACGTACCTCCAGCTGTTGGCGCCGCCGCTTGGAGCGTCCAACACCCAGTGCATCGGCTCGCATAGCTCACTGGTTTCTCTCGCCCGCTTTGGTGGCGTCTCCATCCCGGTCTCCATCGGCCAGCTGGTCAATCCCAAGATAGACGAGCACCTCTCTGGAGAGTACGCCCACTTTACCACCACATTTTATGGCAACTCGACGTACCGCTCGTCGTCGCCGACCGGCTCGTACGATGAGCTCACAACTGTGGTGGAGACCACCATCTCACAGCGGACGCTCCGCCTCGGCCGCAACTCGGATGGCCGGCTGCGGAAGAAGCGGGCGACCAAGACCCGCCGCCGCATCAAGCGGGTCCTGCCATCGGCCTCGGACTCGGCCTCGCCCCCAGGCTCTGACACTGACTCGGACGCAACGTCGCAGTACGGGAACGGGGACTTCTCTAGTGATCCGCCTCGCGCCTCGCAAGACGTTCCGATCTCGATGCGGCACGCATCATCGCCGCTCGACGCTAGGCTCAACTGGTCGTCCTCGCCAGGCCTGCACCCGCCAGGCTCCGGCTCGGACTCGGGGCCCGGCTCGGGTTTGGGCCTGGAGTCGGGCTCAGAACTGGACAGCGGCTCGGGCGCTGGCACGAGCTCGGAGCCGGGCGGCTCCCGGCACGCGCGCGCCAGCTCGCTGCATCGAGTCGGGATCCGCGGCCGGGCCGCTGCCACTCCGCCGCGCATCGCCCTCGAGCGAACGGTCAAGGTCAAGCGGACGCCGTCGCCTGTCTCCACTGGCGTGGTCAAGAAGAAGCGTAAGCACGCTGTGTTTGTCAAGCGTGTTCCCCGCTCGACCGAAGTGTCCAAACATGTTGCCGCCTCCCACTCGCCACACTAGCAGCCGCGCACCGCGGGCCACCATGTCCAGCCCGGACTTGCGAGATTGTTGTTTTGCAGTTGCCCGACTAAAAATTGTTGCCAAACGTGGCTACCGGCAGCGGACCATCGAGTGACAAGCCAGCGATAGTGACGGCCTCGCTCTGACACCGGTACACTCGACCATGCAGCGATGGACAGCCGAGGCTCGCGGGACTGCGGAGCGGCGAGTAGGGACAAGTGCGGTAGGCGGAGGCTGGCAGGGTGATGGTAGTGGTGGAGTTGGAGCCGGGCATGGTGTGGCGGTGGCCGTAGGTGGCTCTGGCTCGGTGGGCGGGGATGCTCTCGCAGCCAGCAACGGGAGGGGATGGCGGAGGGGCGGAGCGAGTGGCGATGGCTGGATTGGGGTGTATGGATGGTTTGTCATTGCGGTGGTCATGGTCTGGATGGTGGTGAGGTACAGGATCGGACACCTGCCTCTGCCAGCATCGCTCCCGCCATCAGCTAGCCATCTCGAGTCTACGTACGGCATCCATGCAGGCGTGGCGTTTTGGGCGAGAAAGCCGACGACGGGCAAGGCCGTGACTCTGCATCCGGGCGCAGCCGTCTTTGGCTCGTCGGTCGTGCATCTGCCGCCTCTGACCTCGAAATGCATGGGCTGTGGCTTTGTCAACTACGATGGCGATGAGTGCCCGGCGGAGAGGCTCAACGTGGGCAAGGGCGCGCTCGAGGACGCGCGGAATGTGGAGACAACCTCGATCTTCGACTTTAGCAGGTACTCCGAGTCGTGGATGACTGGTGGGAGGAAGACCCGGACGCTGCGAGACGACAGCGGCGGTGTCCATTACCACTGCTGTGAGATGTGGACACCACTGTCAGTCGAGCTCAAGGATCATGGCGCGCCGCCTAATTATCAGCCAGTGCTCTCGACCGTGTGCAGGTTCCACAACGCGCGGTTTTCCATCCAGGACGTGCCGCTCGGTGTCCAGCTTCTTCATCGGACGTTTGGGATCGAGGTGGCGGCACCATCGGTGCCAGAGTCGCGGTTTGGCTCGATGGGCTACGTCGGGGGCATGCGGACGTGGCCGGACCGGTTTCAGATTGAGGCGCGGACGGTGAGCGCACACGGAGATTGCTCGAGGGAGATGGGAAGTGGCAAGGTCGGCATTGTGCTGTACGACATGTGGCACGCCGCGTACTGGCACTACTTTCACAACATGTTCATGCGGGCATGGGGAAGCGCGTATACGCTCGGGCTCATCGATTGCCCCGAGCCATACGACCCGATCTGGCTGCCGAGCTCGCGGCATCCTCCGTGCACCATTGCGCGTGACAGGATTGTCATGATTCTGCCCGGCTTTCCGCACGGCGACGAGCACCCAGCCATTGACAAGCTCATGGCGCACCTCTCGGACGAGGTCATCTACGAGCCTGCGGCTCTCGATGGGCTCTGTTTCGAGACCCTGGTTGTGGGCGCATACTCTGAGCTCGACTTCAACTCGTTTGTCATGCCTGCAACACTGGAGATGCTGCCCAAGTTTGAGCAGTGGTGGAACTGGGCCAATGGGCTGGTGACGCCGCGGCTGGGGGTGACGCTCGGCGATGCGGTGGCACAGGCGCAGGCGCTCGACGAGCTGAGCAAACGCGAGCGCACTGCCATGCGCAGCAAAGCCGAGCGTGGGTACAAGGTGCCGTCGTTTGTGTTTGCAAAGCAGACGCGGTTGCAGCGGCCGGTCCTCACCATCATTGACCGCAAGATCTCCCACGCGCGGCAGTGGCGCGACGGCCTGGTGGACCAGATGCGCGGTTGGGCCGAGGAGCGCGGCATCCTGACGCAGGTTGTCTCATTCGAGGCAATGAGCTACGAGGAGAGCCTCGCAGTCATGTCCAACTCGTCGATTGTGTTTGGGGTGACCGGAGCTGGCTTCACCAACCAGTACCACATGCAGCCCGGCTCGGTCTCTGTCCTCATCTTTCCATATGTTGCATTTGCGGCGTTCTACGACTCGGACGAGTTTGCGCACATGGGCGTGGCACGGTCGTCGTTTGTGGTCAAGTACGTGGACCACAGCACGCGGGCGGCACGCGACCAGATCAACGTGGCGCGCAACGTGTTCGACGGGCTCCTCGACCAAGCACTCACGCTCGGCGTCCACGCGACGTACAGTGAAGTGAGCTGGGCGTGGTCTACCGCGGGGCCGGTGCCCTCGACAGTCCACACGCCGATGATGATGGTCGGGTGAGGATGCGGGATAAACTACGGCATCGACTTGGCATCGGCGTCGGCGTCGGCAGTACTGTCACCAGCCAGCAGCGGGCTGGCCTCGGGCGCCGGCGTCTTGTCGAGCTTGTCGTTGCCACGGGCCTGAGCCTCGGCGGCGTACTTGGCCCAATTTGTGTTGAGGATGACAAAGCCGAGCATGGCGAGGACGGCGATGTAGCCGACGGTCATGCCGCAGTACAGCATGTAGAGCTTGGACTTGTAGTGGACGTAGCGCGAGAGAAGAAAAGCGGCGGGAGCCTGGAAGACCCACGAGCCGACAAAGCCGGTGTAGAGGACAATCTTCGGGCGGCCCATTGACTTGACGATGGACTCAAAGGCGACCGAGAGGTTCATAAAGGCAGTGGTGAGGGCGAGCGGGAGGCCGACACGCTCAAACTCGTCGAGAATGACCGGGTCTGAGGAAAAGATGGAGCCGAGCTGGCGCGAGAAGAGCGCAATACCCGAGCCGACACCGACGACGAATACGCAGACAATGAGCATGCCGATGAGTGAAAGGTATCTCGCGTCTGCGGCATCGCCGCGGCCAAAGGCGATGCCGAGGCGGATGCTAACGGCGGCCGAGACCGAGCCGACAAAGGTGAGGCCGATCCACATGATGCGGTACGAGGTTGTGAAGACGGCGACCTCGGTGGCACCAAAGGTGGCGGCAACGGTGCCGATAAAGGCAACGCGCCAAAGTCCGAGGCAATGGAGAGCGAGGCAGGGCCGTAGAGGCGGGCGTAGGCCACGAGCCGGGTCCGCGTCACGTGGCGCCAGGCCCATCCCGGCCAACACGGCTTGTGCAGGCCCTTCCATGCGATAAAGACAAAGTAGACGACAGCGAGCTGAAGCCACTCCATGGCGGCGGTGACGGTGGGGCAGGCGAGGAAGCCAAATCCGGACCAGCCCGGGATGCCGACGCCAAGGACAAAGACCAGGCCAAAGAGCACGTTGCACGCCATGGCAGCGAGGGCGGCCACTACCGATGGGTACATGATCCGTTGCGCCTCGAGCATCTTGGCCAGCTGAGACGAGATGATCATGGGCGGGATGGAGGCAATGAGAATGAGCGCGTAGTGGCCGGCAATGCGAGCCAGATTAGGCGCCACACCGAGGAGGAGGAGGACCGGCTCGGTGACGGACCACAGCGCAATGACCGGGACGGCGACGAGGGCAAGGAGGACCAGCGAGACCTGGAACCACACCCCGACCATCTTCAACTGCCCGGCGCCGATGGCGTTGCCTGCAAAGATGCCCAGGACGCGGGTGTTGAGAAAGACCCGCGACGACGAGGTGTACAGATCTGACAGTGCTGCACCTTCGAGATACTCGGATCCAGCGTGTCCGAGCAGCGCCGAGTCGGTGGTCTTCATGGCCACCCAGGCGACCATGGCCTGAGCACGGGGAAGCAATCGATGGTGAGTATGTCCCGGCGGCGGGGCTTGATATCGGCAAGAGTCTCAGCACATGCCGGGAACCAGACGCGTCACCTACCACAAAAATAGGAATGGCTAGCTTGAGCAGATCGATGGCCGTAGCCCAGCCTCCTTCGTCTGTCGCCTTGCGGACGAGGTCGTCGCCGTCGCCCGACTTGAGCTTGGCCTTGGCTTTCCCGGTTCGTCAGTGTTGATGGACATGTGCGGCTGCTTGGCAAGGAGAGGCTCATTCTCATCAGTGTCACCCATGCCGGAAGGTAGAGATGGATGTGGTCTGTGTAGTGGCTGGGCTTGCTGAGACTGCGGCTGATGCCGCGGCATTGGGCCGCATTTTGAGTGATGGCCATGGGGATGACGACATCAACGACATCACGATGGATGGGATGATAGCATGGCGGGTATGGCGCAATAGCCATGAAGGGGGGGGGGGGGGGGGGGGGGGTCAGTATCAGCGGATTGCGGCAGCTCAAATCAAATCGGCTCGCCATCGAGCTCGATCGGGAGCCTCTCTGCTCCTGGTAGCCTGGATATACCATGATCAGCAGATGCAGCAGGCGGATCGTCTGGCGACCTGCCTGGCGGGCGTCGGCGAGGTGGCCGGAGCGAGGCGGACGTGCGTGACACCACGAGGAGGCACCTTACTCGAGCACCAGGGTCAAAGTGGGGGCAGGCAGGGCAAGATGGGCAAGGAGATAGCCATATATGGGAAGCAGGAGGCGATGCCTGTGGCAGGAGGCGTGTTGTGGCCTCCGATGCCGCGTGCAGCGCCTCTGGATGGTATCGGTGGCGTGTTCGGTGACGATGGAGGTGACATCGGTGACGATGTCCGGGCGGAACACGTGGGCGACGCCAGAGGGAGGAATGGGCTTGGCCTTGGCCGGGCGGCACTTGACGCAGAAAACACCAGAGAGTGGACAAGCAGAGAGGACATGCTTTGTTCTTCACATGGTGCTGTCGTGGTGGTCCTGGCTCTGTTGGTGTTGGCGGTAGTGGTCGGCCAAGTCGCGGCGCTGCCGGTACCAGCGGCGTCGGTCTGTGACTCGCTCGAGTCGCTCTCGGGCTCGTGCGCATCGGCGTGCTCGGGCATGGGCATGATCCTCCACCGGACTTGCCGGACGGGCTGCCCACCGCAGGTTGGCGTCGCTTGTCGCCTCCGATGGCTGATGGCAAACTTTATGGTCGGCCAGCCGCACGCTGCGAAGATGCTTCCGGCGGCGTTTGAGGCGTGGCGGTCGGGAGCCGATGGCGCCCTGTGTTGTTTATGGCCGGCGATCACGGGACGGGCAAGTCGACGGCGGCATCGATTCTGGCGCATGCTATGTTTCCGCAGCGTGGCGAGTCGCATACACTCGCTCGCGAGGACGGGTTGCTCCCTCTTGGCGTGCTCAAGCGCGACGGCTGGTCGTTCAAGCTCCGGCCGCAGAGCGACGGCGCGCCGCCGCCGCGTGCAGCGGTTGACGCGCTCATTGACGAGATTTATGGCGATGTGGTGGCACAGCTCCGGGTCTGCCCCTCGTCGCTCATCATCTTTGACGAGCTCCACAGGGTCCACCCGGACATCATCCGGTCGCTGGCGCGGTTTACCGAGACGCCGTACGTGATGGATGGCGGCGAACGGGTGCAGACGTCGCGGGCGGTCTTTGTCTTTATCTCTGATTTTGGCAAAGAGTCGATGTCGGCTCATGACACGTACGATGAGCTTGTGGTGCGGGTCCGCAGCCTCGTCAACGCCGTGTACGGCACTGCTGCCGACGCGGGCGTCGACGTCAACCGAATGTTCTCTTACGCCATCCCGTTCCTCCCGCTTGATCACGAGGCGCTGTTGGGAGTGGCGGCGATTGCGCTCGCGGAGCTATCATCGCATCCGGCGCTGGTAGAGCGTGGCGTGGTCGACGTTGTGATCGATCCAGGAGTCCGACACTATGTGGTCCGGCACGCGCTCGACCCGTCTGCACTCCGGGAGTCGCGGTATGGGCGCGGTGTCCGCGAGGCCGTCCGCGACCATGTCATGCTCCGACTCCTTGCTGCTGTCCCACTCTCTGCTACCGAGACTAGTCCGCTGAGCTCGAGCTCGGGCGCCGTGCTGTGGCTTTCACGGCTGTTGAGCATGTTCGTCACACCGCGGACGCAACCGCTTTACCTCCACATCACTGGCGGCGAGAGCCCTGGCTCGGACATCTTCATCCACTCGTACACCTCGCATGCGGTCTTCTGCCGCGACACGAGCCAGGTCCGCGCTCTCATCGCCAGCGAGCGTGCCGCCCGTGCCCGTCGCGCCCTCATTGCCACCTCCAGCGAGCACACGGAGCTTTAGAGAGCAGAGTAGCTGCCAGTAAGACAGTGCATGCGTGAGCGCCCATGGCAGGAAAGGAGAGCGGGAGGGAGGCACGGCAGTGGCCCAGGTGCTGCCGGCACGGCTGCGATCAGCTCGTACCCGTTTCGGCTCTGCCACCTGTCGCTCCGACCGTGCCGACAGCCGACAGCATGCAAGATTGTGAAAGCCGGAGCGCGAGCATGGAGACAGGTAGAAAGCCCAGAGCCGGCATGGATGATGAAGATGGGGAAGAGTATGAGCTGTCGCTTTTGGAGCAACTTCCTCCTGAAGTTCTGCATATTATCGCCTTTGGGGTGGCCTACGGTCCGCCACTCCCGCCGGCCTCGGTCCTCGCTCTCGCCCGCTCGTCCAAGCGGCTGTACTACGTATTTCTGGCGGATCCGTTTGCGGCGGCGCGGATGCACACATCACTTGATCTTGATCTGACGGTCCGCTACAACCTGTGGTTCGCCACACGGTCGATTTTGAGGGCGCAGCTGAAGATGAGTCGGAAGCAGGCCGTGGCCGAGGCCGGACCGTCGGCCTCCCTGGTCTCTGCGCCGTCACCCGAGTCGCAGCGAGGACATCTTTTGGGCGAAGTTGTTTCGGAGGTGCGGTATCGGTGTGGGCTGGGACCGCGGCGGGCGCACCGGAGCCGAGCCGAGCGGATGCGGGCGCTGCCGCGCGGACGATCGTACCTGGGGCCGGCGTCGCCGCCGCGATTCGTGATGGAGGCTATGTCGTCGTTTGAGACGTGGCGGCCGTGGGAGGTGCGACGGCCGGAGGCGCCGCCGTGGGCAGCGCCGGTGGATGTTGGCGGGCGATGGGCACGGCCGTCGTCGATCCACGAGTACGCGCTTTGGGGTGCGGTCGCGGTGGCGTCGGGCTCGCTCCAGGCGCCGGCGGCGCGTGATGTGGTCGATATTCTCCTCATGGCTTCGGTCGAGAAAGACTCGTGGGAGCTCGGTGCAGCGCTGGTGCTGGCGGCCGAGGCCGGTAACTTTGACATGGCAGCGGAGCTGCTGGAGCACGAGTCGTGCGCGGTGGCGACTCGCGAGTACGCCGCAGTGGTGGCGGCGGCGGCGGCTGATCGCGGCAACTTGCTGGCGCGAATGCTGGAGCGAGTCGGTGGCAAGTACGATTTTACAACCGGGAACCGGGCACTGGCAGCAGCGGCGGCGGCCGGATCGTGTGACGCGGTGGCGGTGCTACTCGCCGATGGCCGGATTGATCCGGAAGCGGACGGGCAGCGGGCGCTGGAGGCGGCAACGCGTGCCGGCCACGCAGTAGTGGCTGCCCAGCTTGTGACCGACCCGCGATTCGATGCCAACCACGCGCAGGGCGCGGCGCTTGTGTCTGCGGCGCTCCATGGGCGCGACGAGGTGGCGGCGCTGCTGCTGGCTGCGCCGACGATCGATCCGGACGTGCGCGGCGGTGAGCCGCTGCGGGTGGCGGCACAGGGTGGGCATGCTGGTATTGTGGCGCTCCTTCTCGGCGACAGCCGGGTGGATGTGGCACGCGATGGGTACGCGGCGTGGGCCCTTGCTGCAGTCTCTGGTAGCGCGGAGACGGTCGCGGTGTTCCTCGCTGACGGGCGAGTTGATCCGAATGTGAGCGACGGGTACGCGCTTGTTCATGCGGCTGAGCTGGGGCATGTCGACGTGGTTCGCGCATTGCTCGGCGATGTGCGGACGGATGCAAGCGTGCGTGGATACGAGGCGCTCATTGCGGCCGCGTGCAATGGGCACGGCGCCGTGGTGGCGCTTGTGGCAGGTGCCGGTCCGGTGCCGGCAGTGGTGCTGGCTCAAGCGCTCGAGTACGCAGGCGATGAGGGCCACGACGAGGTTGTAGCGATGCTAGCGGGGTGGAAGACAGGGGAGCAGGTGTAATATGGTGTAGCTGGACGGAATGAGGCTAAAGGACCTTGACGCCAAGGAGAAAGCCAGCACCAAAGGCAGCAGCGATGGGGATCTCAATGCGAGCGAGCTGCTCAAGCTTGTTCTGGATGGTCTTTGTACGTGAGGCGAGTGCGTTGGTGAGCGTCTCGCCGCCCCAAGTGACGGTGACATGGCCATTGTAGACGAGGGTGGTAGCGAAGGCAGAGAGAGTGGTGATGACAAAGGCGGCACCAAAGGTCAATGCGCCAAAGACCATGCCAACGACAACGCCGGAGCCGCCTGCGCCGAGCAGAAACAGATGCATCGGGCCAGAGAGGGCACGGTCGACGGTAGCCCACATCGAGTCCTCCTCCTCGATGGAGAGGTCGATGACGAGGGCGTCGTTCTTGATGGCATCTGCAGGGAGCCAAGCCTTTGCGGCATCAGCAGTGTCAGCCACCACTGCAGGGGCACAGACAACGCGGGCCGGCACCATCACACTCCCGCACACCGTCGCCATGCCGGCCGCCAGCCAGCGGCTTGTCGACGGACTGGAGGCCACCCGAGCGGCTCTTCTCCACTGGGCAACGAGGCGCGGCCTAGCTCGACCCAGAGATAGCAAAGACATGTACGCGTATGTGAGTCATATCCCATGTTCTGTATCACACTCACCGGGCGGACAGGGGGTGTCCCCTTCCACACCAGGATGGGGCACCCGGAGCGGCACCTCACGGACCGGCCACGCCCGCCATGACCAACGAGGGTGATACGGGTCATGCGCGAGACAGACCATGGCAGACCTTTGCTTGCCATCACTCCCTTACCACCTCTACACATGTTCTCTCTCCTTCGGTAAGTGGGCGTACATGCGAGTGGCACGAGCTGCACGGGCAAACATAGTCAACCTCTCTGTGCTGTCTTGCGTCAGGTGTTAGCTCGACGCGGCAGCAGGAGCAGCCGCGCGCATTTGCTGCAGCAGCCGCATTTGCCGCCATAATTGCGGTCATTCGCCCCGCCCTTGCCCGCCACCGCCACCGCCACCGCCACCGCCACCCCCCCCCCCCCCACACACACACACATCACATCACCTCACCCCACCTCACCGCCACTCCCCATCCCACAGCTAGAAAAGCAGAGAAGCATGACATACCGACTGACACGCCGACTGAGGCATGTCATGATGTATGCGGTGATGGCGGTGGTGGCCGTGTCGGTGGTGTGGTCGAGTTTGGGCCTCAAGAAGAGCCCCGTACATCCTCTCCGTCGCCGCGTCGGCGATTTGGCCAAGCCGACTGAGCCGATCAAGTCGAGTGAGCCGGGTGAGGTACCGCCAACGCCTCCTCCGCAAGCGAATCAACCTGGTCCAAGTGCTGAGCAAGTATCACCTCCGCCATCGCCGCCATCGCCGCCATCGCCGACGTCGCCGACATCGCCGACGTCGCCGACATCGCCGACGTCGCCGACATCGCCGACGTCGCCGACATCGCCGACGTCGCCGACATCGCCGACATCGCCCCCTCCGTCATCAGCAACTCCGGCACCCGCGCCTCGACTTCCCATGACGCCTTGGGAAGTCAAGACTCAGGGCATGCCTCTGGTTGGGCATTGGGCGGAGACGGTGGATGTCGCGCTGGAGGCAGAGTTCGCAAAGTCTGTCGAGGCGGAGCAGCTGGAGGAGATCGAGGCTGCCCTGGCGGCGGGCGAGCCGTGCGACGATCCGTATGCGCTCAACAATCCACCGACCATCCTCAAGAACCGTCCGTTGTGCGCGCTCCTCCTCCCCAAGGCCCGGGTGCCAGAGATCCGCGACGCTGTGGTGGCGTACATGGGCAGCCGCGAGACTGCGCGCTCGATGACTTGCAAACTTGTGCCTGCTGTTCGCAAGCTGTTTGAGGAGGCCGGAGCCGAGGCTCGGCTCATCTCGATGGAGGAAGCAGTGGCCAACTTCACTGTCGGTGCGTTTATCACCGGTGACAAGGGCCCGCTTCGGCTTGTCCACGACTTTGTAGGCGAGCTTACGGTCGACGGCAAGATCCGCAATGAGGCCGGCGCCATGCTCGCCTGTGTCTCGGAGATCAAGCCTGTCCTCCGTGCTGCGCCGCTTTTCCTCCACGCCTCGGATCGCGACAACTGGTGCCGCGATATGAAGCACATTGAGCATGCGTACTGGTGCCACCCGCCGCTCGAGGGCGAGTACCTCCATGCTGATGGCGACGCGCTCTCGTTCGAGGCAGCGTTTGAATATGCGAGAGCGTTTCCGCGGAGCATGCGGGTCTGGCCTCGGTCGAACGACGCGCTCTACGTCCCGCGGTGGATATATGCGGCGGCGCTACCCAAGGCATTGGCATGGGGGACAGACTCCAATGGCATCCTCGACCGCTTTTGGCTCTCGTACTACTCGGAACGACATGACAGCTACGTCGAGCTGCTGCCGGCCGCGCGCGAGTCGGCTGGTCGTTTCTTCTCGGCCGAGTTTCCGTTTGCAATGACTTCGTCCGAGGACATGGACGCGCGAGGGGCTTCGATCCCGCCGCGACTCGAACGCGACGAGAACGGCACACTCCTGTTTGAAGGCATGCCCGATCGCGAAGTCCTCTACGTCCCCATCCTCATCAAGTGTCGGACGCTGTATGGCCACCACTTTTTCACATGACGGTCGAGAAGTTTGCGAAGCTCTTCTACGTGGTCGACCTCCTCATCGAGCACCCCAACGCGTATCTAGAGAACGTTCTTGGGCCACATGCCACCACATCGATTGAGGCCATCTTCCGCTACCGCTTCGACGATCCGTGGAGCGAGGAGACGAACGAAGCGGTCAGGTCGCTCTGGGCGCGGTTCGTCTCGCGCGATACCCACCTCATTGTCGCCGACGTGGTCCTTGATGTCGGGCTCGGCCCGTACCACCTCAAGAGCACGCCGCCGCTGGACATTCTGCGGACCATTGCGGCGTCAATCACCGCGTTCACCATGCACAAGTTTGGGCTCGAGGTCGAAGTGGCGCCGCCGCTGGCGCGGTCGGTCTTGGTCGACGGTGTCGAGCCGGCCAGCGACGCGGCTCCGCCATCGGCGCCGCTGCGGGTCCTTGTGGCGCAGCACGTCAACGGGCGCAACTTTATCAACATTGACGAGCTCATCGCCTTTATCCAGCCGCTCGTCGACGCCGGCCCGCCAGGCGGTTGGGTCAAAGAGTTTGCACCTGGCCTCCTGCCGTGGCAGGACCAGGTCGCAACGTGGATGACTGCCAACATGGTCATCGGGTTTACGGGCTCACACTTTACCGGCGTCCTCTTTATGCCACCGGGCTCGGTCCTCATTGAGCTCATGATCCACCCTATCGACACCTGCATGTACCACCTCTCGTCAGGTCTGGGCCACGATCATTGGACGCTTCGCGCTTTTGTCGACGTCTTCTCGTGGGCCAACATCCGTCGCGACTTTAACGCCTCGGCGCCGGCCCTGGATCGGATCGGTCTCATCCTACGCGGCTACGCCTCACTCGAGCCGCTCGACATTGCCTACAACCGCCACCCAGGCTTTGACTACGACCCAGCGACCGGGACTTGAGCTTAAAGTCAAAAGAGCTCGGCGGCAGCCACGGCGAGCTCACGGTCGCGGAGCCGAGTTGTGGAGTTGACCATGGCCACGCTGGACGTCGACGCGTCGGAGAGCGCCGTGATGACGGCTGGCTCGTATGCGAGCTCGAGCGCAGTCTCGCCGGCATCGTTGACGATGCCGACTTCGGCGTGAGCGTCGAGAAGTACGCAGACTACGCGAGTGTGGCCGAGCAGGGCGGCCAGATGCAGCGGCGAGTCGGCGAAGCAGGTGAGCGCGTTGACGTCGACGCCAGGTGCAGCGCCGAGCGTGGCTACAGCGTCTGTGTGGCCGGCCCACGCTGCACAGTGGAGCGGCGTCCACGACGCGTCGTTGCGCATGTTCAGCTCGCCTTCGGACGCATACGGCAAGAGGGTGGCGATGACGTCGGCATGCCCGGCGGCGGCGGCGAGGTGCAGAGCGGTCTCGCCGGCGGCACTCACAGTCTCGGGCAAGGCAAGCGCCTTGAGCAGAGCGCCGACAAGGGCGACCGAGCCGGAGCGGGCAGCGTGGAGAAGCGGCGTCTCGCCGGCAGTATCAGGCTCATCGACCTCGGCTTTGGCGGCCAGGAGCAGGTTGCCGACGGCGGCGTGACCGGCTGTGGCAGCGAGGTGCAGCGGGCTGCGGCCTGCAGCGTCGCGGGCGTCGAGCTCTGCGCCGGCGGCGAGGAGCTTGCGGCAGATGGCGTCCCGGCCGGCGGCGGCGGCGACATGCAGCGCAGTGGCGGACTCGTCGTCGAGCGCAGCGACGAGTGCCTCGGTTTCGGTGTGGTCGAGAAGAACCTCGACGACAGCAAGCTGGCCGGCCTGAGCTGCAGTATGAAGGGCGGTGAAGCCGAGCTCGTCGGCAGCATGGGCATCGACCGAGTCGTGGAGGAGGAGGAGCGCCATGTCGGCGTGACCGTAGAGCGCGGCGTAGTGAAGCGGCGTCCGCCGGTGGGCGCAGAGGACCGAAGCTGCCGCGCCGGCGCGGATGAGCTTCTGCGCCAGGTTGTAAAAGCCGAGCATGGCGGCAACATGGAGCGGCGCGAGCTCGGCGCGGGTGTTGGCTTTGGCCTCCACGTCGGCGTTGGCGGCGAGCAGCAGCTCGACGACGTCGAGACGGCCAAGGCGGACCGCAAGGTAGAGAGGCCTCTCGCCGGCAGCGTTGGTCCCTGTGAGCACCGGCGAGTTGCCTGCAGCATCGGGCGCGAGCGCAGCGGCGACGTCGCTGCAGGATCCGGACTCGATGGCCTGCATGAGCGCGTTGAATCGGAGGGTAGCGGCGAGCGACGAGGAGCCGCCAGCCATGGCCGTCGCCGCGGCAGCGTCGGGTGCAACCTTGACGTCGAGTTCGGTCGTCGCGCCAAGCGCGCCAAGCGCCGGAGGCAGTTCGCGGAGCGGATTGCCGCGGAGCACGAGCCGTTTGAGCCCGGCAAGGCCCGAGAGACTTGGTGGGATGTCTGTCAGAGAGTTATGCGCCAAATCGAGCACCGTGAGCGCCGGCGCCGATCCGAGGGCCATCGGCAGCGTAGTCAAGCTGTTTGAGCGCACGGCGAGTGTTGCCAGGCGCGGTAGGCTTGCCAGCTCGGCCGGGAGGGCGACCATCTCGTTGTCATTGAGATGGAGCTCGGTGAGCGATGTCATGTGGACGATGGCCGGCGGCAGAGTCTCGATCTTGTTTGTCCACAGAAACAGCGTCTCCAGCCGCTTGAGCGCCGAGAAGCTCTCTGGGAGCGATGTGAGAAAGTTGGAGTTTGCGGCGAGGGCCGTGAGCGAGGTAAGGGAGGCGAGGCGGGGCGGGAGCGCGGCGAGGGCGTTGTGCGAGAGATGCAGATCGGTGAGTCTGGTCAAGTGCGTCAGCGGGAGCAGCGCATCCTCAGCAGCGAGCATGTTGTGTGAGAGGTCCAGCCGCATGAGATCGGTGAGGGCAGCGAGCGGCTTGGGTAGCACAGGAAGCGACATCGAGGCGAGGACGAGCTCATGTCGGCCTTGCTGGCCAGCGGCATGGAGCGCTTCAGCCACGGCTTTTTGTCGTCGAGAGAGAGCATTCTATGGACGGTAGACACGCCTGTGTGTCGGCTACTTGCCATGGTGGTCCGGGCTGTGTCTATGTACGTGTGCGTGTGTGTGTGTGTGTTTGGGAGGCCCAAGAGAGCGAGGTGCTGGCGCCAGTTGAGGTGCCACCAAGTCCGGCAACATAAGCATTGATTGGCAGTTTGTCGGCTGGCTGTTGGCGAGTGGCCACCACTCGTCGGACTCTGCAATCGATGGCGAATGTACAATTATATACAGAACATGGAAGAAGGCCGGCGAATCAAACGACAGGCACGCACACACCGCGTTTGCTTCGCAACTCGCCCGCGAACCGAGTACGACGGACACCGCACGCAAGGGGGGCAACAGAGCGGGTGAGAGAGGGACGTCCATTTTTTTTCTCCCACCAAGCAAAAGCATGTCAAGCAGTGGAGGCAAGGGCCAGCAACGTGGCTTTGCCTTTCGAACCATTCGTACCAAGAAGCGAGCGCTCCGTCAGCAGCGGAAAGCAAGCGGGGCCAACAGCGGTGGTGGAGGAGGGACCAGGACTGGGACAGGGACGGGAGGAGGGGGAAGTGGTGGAGGCAACGGAAGCAGCGGTAGTGGTGGTGGTGGTGGTGGTGGTGGTGGTGGTGGTGGTGGCGGTGGCAGTGGTGGCTGTGGGAATGGGCAAGCAAAGAACGACATACAGATGGCGGCACTCAAGGCAGCCTTGCCCCATGCCTCGGCCAAGGGCTGGCTGAGAAAGCATCCTGGCAAAAAGTTCCGCGGGTGGAAGCTGCGATGGTTTGACCTCCGCAACGGAGAGGTCACCTACCGGACGAACATTACCGACAAAACTCCCATCAAGAGGTTGAGCATGGATATCATCAACGATGTGCTTCCGGTCGATGGTGTGCCATCGGGTCTCAAGGACGACTCGGCTCATTGCGCCTTCTCCATCGCTTATGGCGCAGGCAAGAAGTCGCGATTCATCACGCTCCTTGCCTCTTCCCCGCGCGATCGCAACCTCTGGGTCAAGCGCATCTGGGCCGCAAAGCGCATTGCCGAGCTCGGCATCGAACTGACCGACGTTGACGACGAGTCCATCGACGACGCTATTCGCAAGCGCTCGCTCGCGCGCCAGGAGGAGGCTGCTGCCCGGTCGTCGGCTCAGGCGGCGCTCGCCGCAGGCGGCTCAGCAGCTGCCGGCGGCAGCGCCGACGAGTCGGACTCGGACGAGTCGGACTCTGAAGATTCGGACAGCGATGATGAGTCTGGCGGCGGCGGGCAGGTCGGGAACAGCGAGGTTGAGCTTGGCGCCGGAGCCATCATCGGGCCGCGCTCACTCGAGACGGTTGTCTCGCCGTCGACGCCGTCGGGCTCATCGTCGACGCTCCACGGGGCCATGTCGGAGAGCGAGTATCCTGCGTCGTTTGGGGCATGGGCAACAACGACTCGGAGTACACGTCGTCGGGCGACGAAGCCGACGAGACTGACATTGCTACCGAGCTTCAGGTGACGGCGCGTGTGGCGGCAGCGCGGGCGACCCAGGCAGCGGCGCTCGGGGCGCTCGGTGGGGTTCCGGACCACTGCCCCGAGTCCCCGCTCGGCCTCCTCAAGCCTGCAGGCGGGTGGACGATTGAGCCTGTGGACGAGCGGGTGTGGCGCGACAAGGCCTCGTTCAACGTGCTCGTCGAGGACGACGACGACGCTGTCGGCTGGTATCGCGAGTACTTTGCGCACAAGGAGCACACCAACTTTGTGGGCAGCGACAAGAGCTACGGGCCGATGGCGGTGAGTCTGGTGTGGGAGGGTGCCGGGGCGCGGACGCTGCGGGCGATTGTGTGGGCGCGGACCGGTAACTACCGGCTCCTCTTCCCACCGCTCGACGAGGGCTCCAAGGCCGGGTCGGCCAAGGCGCAGCTGAAGGCCGTGCTCACGGCGGTCAAGCCCGAGTACGCGTCGGCGGCCAAGAAGATGGTCATCCTCAACCAGCAGCGGCATGCGGCCGAGCTTGCCAAGCTCGAGGACTCGTACCTGCCGCGTAAGTACAAGTTTGGCCTGGTGTACGTCCGCGAGGGCCAGACGTGCGAGACTGAGTTCCTCGCCAACGACTACGATCCGTCGCCAAACGGGCTGGACGCAGCCTTTGTGGCGTTTACCAATCTCATCGGAACGCGGGTTCCGCTCAAGGGTTGGGACGGGTACCGAGCCGGGCTCGACGTCGATGCCGGCGGGACCGGCGACTACTCGCTCTTTGCACAGGTCCGCGGCTACGACGTCATGTTCCACGTCGCGCCGAGCTCCCGCACGACCGCGAAAACTCGGGGCAGGAGGTGCAGCGGAAGCGGCAGATTGGCAACGACATTGTGGCGATTGTGTTTACCGACGGACGAACGCCGTACTCACCGGATGCGATCCACTGCCAGTTCCTCCACTGCTACGCGGTGGTCCAGCCGGGCCCCAAGCCGGGGCAGTACCTGGTCCAGTTTGCGCGACAGGACTGCGTGCGGCCGTTTGGCCCGCCGACGCCGTCTGCGGTGTGGAACGCCGACGACGCCTTTGTTGACTTTCTCCTCACCAAGCTCGTCAACGCGGAGCGGGTGGCGCTCCGCTCGGGCACCACTTTCGTGGACAAGTTCAAGCGGACGCAGGAGATCACGCTCGCCGGGCTTTACGAGAAGGCCAAGGCCAAGCCGGCCAAGGGCAAGGGGCCCAAGACGACACCGCCGCTGGAGCTCAAGCCGCGGCTGGGCAGCGGGGTGGGCGGCGGTGGCCCGCGGTCGGCCATCCGCATGCTCGACCACAACTATGAGGGCTTTGCCGCGACGCGGTTCACGGCGCTCCGCGGCGCCGTCGTCGCCTTTGATCTCTGGGGCTCGACCGCGCTGTACTCGTCGCGGGGCGCGCCGTTCCACATCGAGAACATCGGCGACGACGGAGCGCGCGCCATCATGGCGCGGACACCGATGTCAGGCGTGACGGTCATCGAGTCGCTCGGCCTCGTTATCTCGCAAGTGGCCAAGTCAGGCGTCCTAGTTGTGTTTTACGTCTCGGCCATCGGCCCGTGGCAGCCGCTGGAGATCAAGGGCTCGAAGGGTTCGTCGCTCCACGCGTTTGGCTCGACGCGCGCGGGCGAGTTTATCGTCTCGTCGATCTCGTCGTCGCTGGGCATTTTTGAGTGGATCGAGTCGTCGTTCCACAAGACCAAGCGCGTCGATCTCCCGTCGTCGGCGACAGTGCTCCGGTACCTGCGCCACGGCGACTGGGGGTGGGCCACGTCAAGGGCTTCTGGCTCCTCTCGGCCAAGGACAATGGCACGTTTGCTGTGACCAAGATCCTCAAGTTCAAGAACGTCAAACCGCGAGCGACAGCCGCCGACATCATCTCGCTCGGCAACGGCGAGCTCCTCTGCACATTTGACCAGTACTCGCGGTTTGTCGAACGGTCGACTGCCCGCCGCTCGCGGCCGTACGACCTCGAGTGGAGCGGCTTTGTCATCTCCACTGTCCACCGGGCCCCGTTTGTGCTCGGCCTCCTCTCGGGCGGGCCCGCGGGCCGCATCGAGGTCCGCTCGGTCGACTCGGGCCTCGTCTGGTCGGTTATTGAGCTGCCGGGCATGGGCGCGCTCCAGCTGTACTCGACCAAGGTCGGCATGCTCGTTGGCGTTGCCTCGGACGAGGAGACTGTCATCTATGACGTGGTCCAGCAGACGCAGCGTTTGGCATCGACGCCGACGACGGCGAGAACGATGACGATGACGACGACGATGACGACGGCGACGACGACGATGACGACGAGGAGGAGGAAGATGACTCGGCGTCGCCGGCTTCGACGCCCGTGGCTGTGGCTCCCGTGGCAGCGCCGGCGGAGCCGGCCTTGGGCGGGGCAGGTGATGCCGGCCAGAGCGGCGAGGCGAGCGAAGAAACTACGGCCCGCCGCCGCCGTCGCCGCCGCAAGCGCAAGAAGAAGAAGAAGAAGAAGAAGAGCAAGGCGACCCGAACGATTGGGCGGCAGGCGTACCAGACGCTGGCCAAGCCAGGCATCGACCTGGCGAACCTCGCCCAGTACGCCGAGCCGGAGGACCTGGAGGCGCTGGCGGCCGAGGCCGAGGCCAGCGGCGCCAGCGTGCCGGACGGCAGCGGGAACGCTGGCGACGGAAGCGCGGCCGCGAGCGCAAGCAACAACAGCACGGGCCCGCCGCCCAAGCCGCCGCCGCCCGAGCTGGCGCGGCTGGCGGTCGCCGGAGCTTCGGTGTCGTTCTCGTCGTCGGACGAGTCGGACTCGGACTCGAACTCGGACGATTCGTAGAGGGGCAGGCGTGGGAGCAAACAACTTTATGCGCATCACAAAGAGATCAGGAGCAGGGGCAAGCGAGAGAGAGCGTGCTGGCGGCGTCGAGCACAGTCGTCGGAGCGGCGGCTGCACAGACTCGACCAAGCCCGCCTCACATGGCGTACTTGGTGGTCCACTCGCGAGCGGTCTGATCGTACTTGGCCCGGTTGGTCTTGTAGACGTCGGCGATGGAGGCCACAAGCGGGTCATCCGGGTTCGGGTCGGTGAGCAGCGAGCAGATGGAGAGAAGGACCTTGGAGATGGTCAGTGCAGGTGACCATTGGCTCTTGAGGATGTCAAGGCAGATGCCTCCATTCGAGTTGACGTTCGGGTGGTAAATCTTAGTGGTGAACTGGATCTTCGGCGGCTTGAACGGGTAGTCCGTCGGGCTGTGGATGCGCATGTATGGAGTGTGGCGTGAGTGTGTGTGTGCGGGAGGGGAGGGGAGGGGGAGGGGGAAGGGGGGGAGAGGGAGAGGCAAGAAAAAACCTACAACAGAATGTCGAGTGTGAAGACGCCTGGAGACAGAACGGGCCGAGGAGAGACGAGGGTGAGGGGTGAGTGGGTGTGCGACGGAGGGAGGGAGGGGGGGGGTGGTAGGGGTGGTCGGGGTGGTAGGGGTGGTGGAGGGCGTGGAGAGGGGGGGGGGGCGTGGTGGGGGGTCATATTTGGAAGGTCCGAATTGATCATGCATGGAAGGCAGGCCGGCGTATGACGCGGCCGGCAGCGGCGGGGTTTGCAGCCGGCAGAGGCGGAGGCAAAGAGGGGGGGGGAGGGAGGTTGGGGGGAGGGGGGGGGAGGGGAGGCAGCGGGAAGCAGGAGGGAGGAGATAAAGTAGGTGGGCGGGAAGGGCACGGGAATGGCGTACCACCGGCGTAGGGAGAATCCTCCGGGCCGACCAGGGTCGCCTGCCAGCGGTAGAGGTCGCTCTCGTCACGCGGGCCAGCCGAGCAGTTGGCCGGCGGGTCCTTTGCGAGGTCCTGCAGCTCCTACACTCACCCAAGCATAACACCTTCTTGAGTGAGTCACCATGCTCACCATCACCAGCTACAGACCGTGACCATAGCACTTTCCCCCCTTCCTCCCCCCGCCCACACAAGGGCATACTACTGCGGGCCGACCTGCTGTCGTCATGAAGGTTCAAAGGACCATTCATTGGGTGGCGAAAAAATGGTGGCAGAGCCAGCCAAGGTTTGCGACATGGCGAAGGAACCGCATTCACGGCTGGGCCAGCAGGAGTGGGAGAGGGAGAGGGGAGGGGGAGGGGGGAGGGGGAGGGAGGGAGGGAGGGAGGGAGGAGGAGGGGGTGGGGTGGGGCAGAGGGAGGAAGAGGTGGAGTTGGTGGTAGGGGGACATGGACGAGTGCAGGGGGGGGGGGGGAGGGAGGGAGGGTGCGTACCTTCTGAATGCGACGAAGAGCCATTGTGTGTGTGGAGAGGTGTGGCTTCATTCAACGATAAACGCTTAAACGATTAATGCCACCGTGTGGCGGAGTTTGTGGTGGGGACCGGTTGGTGGGCGGGAAGGGCAAGACGGCTCCCGGTTTTGAGCAGGGAAGCAGGTGCAAGTGCAAGTGTCGCAATGTCGCGATGTCGCGATGTTGGCGCCATCGACTGTGCCGCTGTTGACTCTGTCGCGATGGCTTGTGTCGCGATGTCGCAACCGATTGGGCGGGGAGGCGGGGAGAGGGGAGAGGTGAGGACTACTCGGCCTTTGACTTGGACTTGGGGTTGGACTTGTTGTCGGCAGACTCGTCGGCGATCTGGCCCCAGAACCAGTTCTTGGAGAGGGCGAGGAGGGCGATGGTGATGATGATGAGCATCTTGGCGTCGTCGCGGGAGAGGATGGTGGGGAGCCACGAGTAGTTGTGCGGATTGTGCAGGAGGTAGTAGGCCGGCGATGCGATCATGGCGACACGGATGGCAAAGGAGGGGACGGCGAGCGAGTCCGGGGTGGAAAAGTGCCACTTGGAGTGCATGAGGTGGAAGGACTCGTTGAGGATGCCGCCGCCGGTGCCGGAGAGGATGCCACAGAGGAGGGCGGCCCAGGGTGAGGAGGCGACCATGGCGTGATCGGCAGCGATAGCCTTGTCGACGCCCCACGAGGTGATGGCGGTGCCCCAGGCAAAGGCATCCACCAACAGAAGCGCTTCGTGGAGCGGGGCAAACTGGAGCAGACGCCAGACCAGGTCGCCGGGCGCCGCGTTGACCAGCAGGTAGCCGAGGACGTAGGTGGGGAAGGTGTTGAGCGAGCAGACCCACGATGGCGGTTGACCGAGAAGGATTCCAGTTAACGTGGTGCCTCCCAAGCAGCAGAGCACGATCGCCACTAGCTGCTGGACCCACGACTGCTTCTGTGCCTTGAGCCGGAAGAGGTACGGGATGGTGAGCGACTTGGCCATGTCGAGCAGCGGAAGCGCTGGGTGGAGGCCATTGATGTTGAGCACCACTGGCTTGACCAAAGTGTAGACCTGCATGCCCTGGGCGAGCGTGTGTTCCATGGTGGGCAAGGGATAGGTGGTGGCGTGTGTGGCGGGGGAGGAAGGGGAGGGGGGGGGGGGAGGGGGGGGGGTTGAGTGTGTGCTCGAGTTTGGACTCTGGCTATGGGCTGCGCGTTGCTGTCGCTCCGAGGAGCACGTCGTCCATCAGAACATCGTACTCGGTGATGGGAAGGGCATCAGGAACGGGGGTGCCATCGGATGATGCAAGGGCGCGCTGGACGACCGCCCATGCGGCACAGGAGAGACCAACTGCGAGCTTGAACGGTGGCGGTGCGTCAGAAGTGGCGGCAGCAGCAGCCATGCCCGAGAGGGTGCGATCGTAGTAGCCGGCACCGCGGCCGCAGCGGGTGAGGGCGAGAGGATCAAAGACAAGACCAGGGACAAGGACAAGATCGACGTGGTCGGCGACAGGCGCGTCGGGACCGGGCTGGGGAATGCCCCACACAGTCTCCGGGAGATTGCAGAACTCGTCCCAGCCATCGACAGCAGCCATCTGTAACGGCTTGCCCTTGCCGACCATCCGAGGAAGATAGACTCTCTTGCCACTTGCAAAGGCGTCGCGAGCCACAGCGCTGATGTCCAGCTCACGTTCCATCGAGACATACATGGCAACCGAGGTGGCACCAGCGTAGGCAGGGTGGGCAAGGACTCGGGCCGCCACGTCGGCAGACTCGCTGGCGATGTCGACAGGCGAGATGCTAGCAAGCAGGCTGTTTGCCGCTGCGCGCACCGCAATCTTGCAGGTGGCTGGGGTAGTGCGCGCTACAGCCATGGCTTGTTGGCTGGCTGGCTGGTTGGCTAGCTGGTGGCGGGGGAGGGGAGAGAGTGGTGGCTGTGGGCCATGATCACGTGCGATCACAGGCGATCAGACACACGGCCGGCTCGCGGTGTGACGGCCTTCTTCTGCTGTGGTGTGGTGAGCTACTTGCCGGCGCACACCCAAGTGCAGACGGTGTGGTGGAGCAGGAAGAAGAAGACTCAGGCTGGCGAGAGCAGACGTGTGCTTCAGACTCGTGCGGTGTGCATATGGCCGGTGAGCATGCCCGCAAGCGCCAGCGCGGGCTTGTGCTTGGTGGCGGTGAGCGAGTTGCCGACGAAGCCGAGGCCGGCGAGGCGGCCGCCAGTGTTCCACGACCTTTTCTGGCTACGGCGGCCCGTTGCGAGAGCGACGAGCCGAGCAGGGGCGAGCTTGCGCAGGCGCGGTATGAGACGGAGATCTGGCCAGAGATAGAGGCTGTGCTCGGCGGCTTGCTACGAGGCGACGACTCGGCCATGGCCTCGTTCTCGCTCTCGTGGCTCGTCCACCGCGCCTTTGCCGCCGTCTCGGAGGGTCTGGCCACCCGCATGTATGGCGATGTGCTCGAGGTTGTCCGAGTCGGCGTGGGGCAGGCTGCCGCCAACTCGCCCGATGCTCTGGACGTTGCGCTGAATGGGTACTCGCGGGCGCGCAGCATCTTCCCGGCCTGGTTCTACCACCTCGACCGAATCTATCTCGCGCCGGTCCTCCACACCACCCTTGTCGACGCTACCGACGCCATCGTGGCCTCGGCTGTCGAACGCTTTTCGAACAACTCGCTCCCGCATGTGCCGCCCCCGATCCCACTCCCGCCGGGTGCCGGTCTGGCGCCGATGGACACCGGCTTGCCGTCGTCGACGGCGTCAGCTCCGTCGACGCGGCAGCAACAGAGCCGGGCTCGCCCGGCGTACATCCGCAAGCGGCCCCGGTCGCGGTCGGGCTCGCGGTCGGGCTCGCGGTCACGATCGACGTCGCCGTAGTGTGTATGGCGGCTGTATGGTAAAGGCGCACCACTTGTCGCTATGACCACAAGACACGCGGCGCTGGTCATCAACGCCGGCTCATCGTCGCTCAAAGCGAGGCTGTATTTGCGGCCAAAAACGTGCGGCAAGGGCCAGCGGCAGCAGGTGCAAGCGACAGACATGGCAGGCGGCGAGATCTTCTCAACGATGATCAGCGGGATTGAGACCGCGAGCGGCATGGCAGCTGCGGTGGCCGAGGTGCTGACTGAAGCCAAGGCTGCTGATGTCGAGCTGGACCTTGTGGCGCACCGGGTTGTCCATGGTGGCCGCGAGAGGGCCGGTGCGGTGGTTGTGGACGACGTCGTGCGGGCGTCGATCGCCGAGGCAGCCGTCCACGCGCCGCTGCACAATCCGCCGGCATTGCTCGCGCTCGAGGCATGCGCCGCGGCAGCGGGGCCTTACGTGCCACAGGTGGCGGTCTTTGACACGGCACCGCATGTGGCAGGCATGGCGGCGTGCGCGTACACGGTGCCTGTCCGGACTCAGCTGGCTGACGCGGCCAGCGTCCGCAAGTACGGCTTTCACGGCTCGTCGCACGCGTACGTGGCCGAGGCTGCAGCTGCGGCACTTGGACTTGCGCCCGAGGCTGCAGCGGTGGTGACGGCTCACCTCGGATCGGGGGCGTCGGTGGCGGCGATTGACGGTGGCCGTGTTGTCGACACCTCGATGGGCTTCTCGCCGCTCGGCGGGCTGGTCATGGCCACCCGCCCAGGCGACATGGATCCTGGCGCGGTGCTCGCGCTCGGCCGGGCGCTGCTCGCGGACGAGAAATTGGGCGCGGCGGAGCTGTTGGATGCACTGGGTGATGAGCTTGCGTCACGCTCGGGTCTGATGGGCATGGCTGGGACACGGTCGATGCGCCAGGTACTGGCCGGCGCAGCCGCAGGGGACGCTCACTGCATCCTTGCCCGCGACGTGTACATTCACCGGCTGGTGTTCCAGCTCCACGGCCACATCGGGCTCCTCTCACGTGCCCCTGACGCGATTGTGTTTACCGGCGGAGTGGGCGAGGCGTCGGCCATAGTGCGATCGCTCGCATGTAGCCCGCTCCTCTCGGCCAGCCTCGATGTATCCGCCAACCGCGACGATGAAGTTGCTGCTGCACTTGCTAGGCATGGTTATGCCGACATTTCGTCTGGAAAGGGAGACATCCGACTGCTTGTCGTGTCCACCAACGAGGAGGCGTACATTGCTGCCCAGGCGTATCGTGCGACGCGGGGGATGGATGGTAGTCATGATCTTCCCGAATGCTCGGACCCTTGCTTACCGCCGCCTGCGATAAAGATCCTTCACCCGCCGCCCGTATGTCTGGTCGTCCACCTGCTGCCTGGTCGTCCGCGTGCCAACGGGCTACTTACCTGCCTAGCCGCCGACATGCCAGATGGCCGCCTGCCATGACGCCTGCCGCCCGGCATGCCACCACCAGCAGGCGACCGCCCCACCACCCCACCAACCACCCCACCGCCCACCTCACCGCCGACCTCACACATCTCTCTCTCTCTCACCCCCTACCCCCCCCCCCCCCCCCTCCCCCACCCACCCCACCCACCCCTCACCCCTCACCCGGCATGACGGCAGTCCCCCCCCCACACCCTCAGCCGTCCTGCTCGGCCCCAACGTGTGCGTGGGCCTGCCCAACGAGAGCCGACTGTACTTTGACGCTGCTGTGAACAAGGTGGTGGTGGTGACGGGACAGACGGAACTGAGAGCCATCTCCTCCCCTCCCACACTCTACACACGACATGGTCTCCGTTCGGTGGCTTATGATGATCCCACTGCTCTCGAAATGCTCCTCCCGGACAGGGGCCCTCTCCTCACATGTCCTCGGCTCGCCCTCGACTTTACCTTTGTCGCGCTCATCCGCTCCACCCGTCTCGTCGAGTTTGTGCCTATTCCGCTCCATCTCCGTCCTGGTCAATCAGCTCCATCGCCTGCCTCTCGTGGTCCTGGCCCGGCGGTTGCTGCGGCTGATTCTCGCTCGGCTTCGGCCGGCCTCACCTCTAGCCGCAAAAAGGCCCGCCGCTCAGGCAGTGCTGCTGGTGGGGGCAAGTCGATCATGCTGACGTGCAAGGCGTCGAGAGAGCCGATGCTCATCTTTGATGGCGGCTGGCCGTATGTGGGCAACTTTTTCCTCGTCACCTCGCAGACCCTCGAGCTGTACGGGTACAGCAGCTCCAAGGGCACGTTCAAGCTCCTCAAGTCACACTCGCTCGCCATCCACTGGCACGTCTACTCGCACGTGGCCAAGGTCATCCTGCTCGCCACCAATGAGCAGGGCACCGTGCTCCAGCCGTTTCTCTTCAAGCCGGACGGCCTCGTCAAGCTACCCAAGCTCCGCATTGCCGCTCGGACCGGAGCCTCCAAGGTCTCCGCCGCAGACGTCCACCTTGCTGTCGTCTACCACAAGGTCTTTCTCATCCACATCAACGCCGCCGACGGCTGCGCTGCCCTCTACCTCATTAACCGCGACGAAGCTGTGCTCCGCGCAGAGCTCCCCATCGCCCGCGGCTGCACCCACCGGCTCTCTATTATCGACCAGCTCCTTGTCTTTCACAACGTTGACCAGGGCTCGGTCCTCATCTACGACATCAAAGTCTCGTGCCGCAACCCGCTCGACAAGCCACGCCCTCTCCCGGCTCCTGGCTCTGCCCCTCCGCCGACGCTCACCTACCCGTTTGCACCGTTGCCTGCCTTAGCTACGCCTGACAGCGCCGACAGTGCCAACTCGTCTGACGGGACGAGCTCGCCGCGGACGCCACGTCGCGGCCGCCGCCCGTGGCTCTACTTTGCGCCCGACCTGGTGATGGAGCCCGAGTCCGGGCGTATCTTCTCGCTTCTACTCGACCTCTCAGCGCTTGCCGCCAACTTTACTGACGCCCGCCGCCGCATCGCCTTTCTTCTCAAACGCGAACACTGCAAGGTCCTCGTCCTCCACACCATCCGCGAGATGATCTGGGCCAAGGCATCACTTAACGCCATCGGCCAGGTCTTTGACATGATCAACGAGATCTGCAACCTCGCCCAGCGTGAGCGTGCAGAGGCCGAGCTCGCCCAGCTGCACTCGGCCGCCGCTGCCAACTCGAAGCGCAAGTCTCGCCGCGGCTGGACCTCATGGTTCTCGTCGTCGTCGTCGTCGTCATCGCCGTCTGCTTCGGCGGCGGCAGCCGCCGCCGAGGCGCCGACCGCGACGCTGTCGGCTCAGGGCGGACCGGCCCGCCCGGCGTCGGCGCCTCCGGCAGCTCACACCGCAGCGCGCGACGTGCCGTTTGGCGGCTCTCGGCTTCCGGCCACCTCGTCGGCGGCATCGCCGTCTGCGTCGTCGCTGCTCCCGCTGACGGGCTCGGCGACGTCGGACTTGGCGTCCAAGTACGCCGAGCTCGGCGGGACCATTCCGCTGCAGCGGGTGCCGTCACCGGCCGACGCCGACGTCTTTGGCGCGCTGGTCCGCTCCTCGCTCGCCACCTCATCGCAGCTGCTGTTCGAGCCGCCGCTCGGCGCCCTCGGCGTCTCGCCCGAGCTCGTCTCGTCGCTTGGCAGCGCGGCCGCGGCCGCGGCCTCGGAAGTCGCTACCTCGCCACTCCTTGTCACTGCCCGGACCAAGGACGGCTTTGCCATCATCGAGCAGAAGGAGATTTACTCGTTTGTGCTCGCGTCGATGGTAGAGGAGGCCCGCGAGCTGACGCCCAAGTTCAAGCTCGCCGTCCTCATGGAGTACATCCGCTCACTCTCGTTCAACTCGCGTCCAGTCCAGCACTACCTCTACGAGCTCATCATCAACCTTCTTGTGGCTGAGGCCAAGTTCCACCAGCTCCACCAGCTCATCCAGTACCACGTCGTCATGGACTCGACGCCCGTCGCCCTCCAGCTCCTCTCGCTCGACGCCGTCTACCCGCCGGCCTTTCAGCTCGCGCTTGACATGCTCAAGCGGCTCCACACCCACGAGGAAATCGTGGAGGTCCTCCTCTCGCGCAACTACGTCCTCCCGGCGCTGCGTTTCATCCGCGAGCACGGCTTCCGCTCGGTCCCGGTCAAGCGCTTCCTCCGCCTCGCCCTCGATTCGGGCGACACGCCGCTCTTCCACACCGTCTTCACCTTCTTTGCCCAGCGCAACTTGTATCTCCGCGGCAACGAGGCTTTTCTTCCCGAGGAGGAGTGCGATGAGTTTGTTGCCGCCTTTGCAGCCCTCTACGCCGCGTAGCCGCTGCTACAAACGCCCAGCGCCCACGCCCATCTCTCCTTTTGCTTTGATGTATGTAATCCATGTAATCAGTACCACGCGCACCATCCAAGGTAGAGAGATGCCAAGTTCTCGAGCGAGGTTGCCTGCCGGATGAGCTTGTCGACCTGTGCCTCGACCGAGAGCGTCTCGTTCTCATCAAAGTCACGACCAGAGAGCTTGGACGAGATGCGGTTGATGATCTGGACAGCCTTCTCGTTGAGCTCGGGCTCGGCGGTGGTGGAGACTTCGGCGAGTGCCGACTCGTCGACGACCTTGCGGCGGGCGCCGGGGACGCCCTCGGCAAAGACTGGCGGCGAGCCGACGCCGTCGGCAGGCTCGCCGTCGGCACCGGCACCGGGCGCGCCGTCAGCCACGGTCTTGTCCTCGAGCAGCCGCCAATTAATGAGCGGGTCGTGGACAAAGGCCTCGAGGACCGACATAAGCGCGTCCTTGTTGAGCCGCAAGACGTGCATGACCGACTCGCAGGTAAACCGGTAGTTGCCCTCGATCATCGAGACCTCCATGGCCTTGCGGAGCATGCGGGTCAGCCGGAACGGCACCTTTTCCGGGAACTTGTCGCGGAGCATGGCGACCTCGAAGCAGTCGCCCCAGTCGATGTGGACGACCTTGCCCGACCTGCGATCGATCATTAGGTTCGACGGGTGACGATCGCCGAGGCCGAGGATGTAGCCGACCATCGACATGACCGCCAGAGACCGCGTGTAGTTGGTCCGCCGCTCAAGCCACGCCTCGGACGACGGCGACTTGAGCCAGAGCATCTTGTACAGGTCGTCGCCCGACGAGCCGTCGAGCGCCGCGAGGAAGACCTCCACCTTTTGCATCAGCGTCAGCGTCTCGTACCGCGCCGGCGAGAGCTGCAGCATGTGCCGGTGCTCCTGGTTGAGCGGAATGCCGCGCATCTCGCGGTATTCTTGCACGAGCGCGTGGAGTGTGTCCGTGTCCGGCACCCAGCCGAGGAGGCCCGAGTACGGCGAGAGCGGGATGATCTCGTATCGGATGATGCCCAGGTGTTTGCGCGCCGTCTCGGGATCGTTCTGCAGCAGCGTGTTGACCAGACCAAACAGCTGCATGACCCGCTCGTCCTGCCGCAGGTCCTCGTGGCCTTTGAGCAGGTACTCGTAGCGGACTCCGTCCGAGCCGAGGATCGAGATCTTGCGCGGCCGCTGCTTCGAGGCAATGATCCGCAGCTCAGAGCCGAACCGCGCAATGCGGACCATCGCCGTGTTGGCGCCGTACGTACCCGGGACCGGAAGCTCGAGGTCGCGCGCAGAGTCGAGGAGTGGCGAGACGTACTTCATCTCGAGGCACTTCATCTCCGCGAGCTGCTTGTCGATGCGCCGGAAGACCCGGTAGTAGAGGTCCCACGCCTGGTTGAGATCGTTGGCCTTTCGCGACGCCTTGTATCGCTCGCACCACTTGGCCGCCTCGCGCAAGTCGCGGCCGTACGCCTGCTGGAACGAGACCTCGCGAAGCGTCGTCGCGCCGGCGTCGAGCGACTGGTGGAGCTCGTCGAGGGCGGCAAACATGCCGTCGACGTCACCGTCGCCAAAGAACAGTCGTGAGGCCTCCTCCAGCGCCTCGTGCCACATCTCGTACCACAGGATGGCGACGCGGATGAGTTCGTCGGCAACCATCTCGGCCTGCTCAATCAGGTTCGGGGAGTGGTTCTTGATCGAGTTGACAATGAGGAGCGCAGACTTGCGCCGCGCCGCAGACTGTGACTTGGACGCCACCGTGAGCGGGTAGACAAGAGCCTGCGGATGCGCCTTGCCCACCTGAGTGAGGAGCTCGATGACGGTCTTGCGGACCCGCTCGTTCGACGCATGGATCCGCGCAATGAGCTGCGGAATGACACACAGCCACGTGTCGACCGAGACAAGGCCAAAGCCCTCAAAGAGCGCAGACTCGACCGACGACCGGTGACCGTACTTGAACCAAAGAGTGAGAACCCGGAGCGCGTCCTGGAGCATCGAGCCGGCCGAGCCGAGCGCGAGCGACTGGAAAAAGCCACGGAGCGAGGCCACGAGGTACGGGTCAAGCGCGTCTTCGTCGCGCGGGCTGGCGTCGTCCACCGCAAGGTGCTGGACCGCCGCGAGGTTGATCCGCGCCCACGAGTGCCACCCGTCGTACCATGACGGGTCGTGCTCGGTCCCGGCCTCAAAGGCGGCGAGAATGGCCTCGAGCGAGCCGTCCGATGTCGGCCCGGTGTGGGTCGCCAGGAGCCACTCGCCGAGCTTGACCGAGGCGCGCGCCATGAGCCGCGGCTCGCACTCGGCCATGCCTGACGCCAGCATGTCCTGCAGGTAGCGGAGGGCGAGGATCTTGTGCGGGGCGACCGTGAGTGCACCCGAACCGGCGGCGGTGTCGCCGGCAACGGTGCCGGATGCAAACGACGAGGCAAAGGCGGCCGAGGCAAACGGCGAGAGCTCGTACAGCGATACCGCGGCGCCCTCGGGCTTCTGCTCCCACACATGCTTGATGTAGGCAAATACGACCGGCGGCGGCGCGGATGCGAGGACATCCGGGAGAGGGCGTGGCGCGACAGGGTCAGACGCCACCGCACCAAGCGCAGTGCCCAGCATCGGCGGTGTCTCGTCGAGGAGTGCAGTGATCGACTTGTACGAGAGGCGCATGCGGCCCGACTCGCGGCAGAGCTCGGCAAAGTTAAGCCAGGTCGCCATGTCATCGTTGGGCTGGAGCACAATAGAGCGGACAGCGAGGACCCGCTGCCAGATGTCGATCGAGCGCTGGCAGCCGTCGAGGCGGGCGGCCCACATCTTGCGGATGAGCCGCTGCTGCTCGTCGTCGGCGAGCTTGTAGGCAATAACCTCTTCCATCTCTGCGAGCTGCATGACCTGCACCATCACCGGGTACGCCCGGTCGTACGACTCGGAGACGAGCGCGGTGAGCTCGGTGTCGAGCAGCTCGCGGGCCTTGTCGACGTAGCTCTGTGCCTCGGCGTACGCGTCCGAGTGTAGCGCGAGGACGGCGCGGTAAAAGGCACCCGGGACGGTGGCGGCGTCCATGGCGTCGACGTAGGTGGCCATTTCGGACCAGTCCGAGAGGTTCCACGCGGCGGCGGCGGCCATGGGCGCGACGTCGCCGTGGAGCGTCGGCGGCAAGCGGTCCCAGGCCGACGAGGCGAGGGCGGCCAGCGACTCCCACTCGCCGAGCGCCGAGAGGCAGCGCATGCGGCCGAGGTGCGGGTCGAGGGTGGCGCTGGCAACCTGGACAGACATGTCGGGCGAAATGTCAGAAACGTCGGCCTCGGCCTCGTCGTAGGCCGCAAGCGCATCCTCCCAGCGGTGGAGCTTCTCGTACCAAGACGACTTGAGGACGACGCCGTGGTTGATGCGGGCGTAGAGGAGGATGCCCTCGGCGGCCTCGGGCTGGCCGAGCTGATTGTTGATAGAAATGAGCGCTTCGATGGTCTCCTCGGGCGCGTGCTGGAACTCGATTTCTTTGTAGTGAAGAGCTTTGGCGTAAGCGCGGCACTTTTCAGCGAGCCGGCCAAGTGTCTCGATAGGAATGGAGAGCGCCTGGTCGTTGTGCTCCATAAACTCAGCCAGGTTGAGCAGCTGCTGTAGGATCTCTGCGGGAATGGTGTCGGAGCAGAGCGCGGTCTGGAGCGAGCGGGTAAGGGCGGTGCGGTACTGGTCGAACAGCTCGGTCCAGCACGAGAGGAAGGCGGCATTGAAGAGGTGCTTGGCGAGCGGCGGGTAGACTTGTGCAAGAGCCCAGCAGGCGCGGAGCGAGGGCGAGCTCGACGACTTGAGGAGCTGGACCGAAAACTTGCGGATCCACTCGAGCCAGTCCTCCTTGGTTGTCCGCTGCGATGCCTCCCAAGCCTTTTGCAGGACCTGCTCGTTGACCGGGAGGCGGGCAATGGCATCGTCCGATCCTGCTTCGACCTCGTCGGCTTCGACCTCGTCGTCGTCCTGCTCGGCGCGGAGGTCGCCCTTAAGGAGCTTGGAGACGAGCGCCTCGTAGCGCGGATGGGCGAGGCCCTGGGCGTGGAGCGCCTTGTTGATCATGGGAATGAAAACGGCAAAGTCGGAGCCGAGGTGGACAACAAGCGCACAGAGGGTCTCCATGACTTCGCGGACGAGGTCTGGCGAGCCCGAGGCGAGGATGCGCGCGAGAGGAAGAATGATGCGCGAGGCGTACTCGGAAAAGTTGAGCTTGCGGCAGAGGCGACCAAGCGCTTGCAGGGCCTGGACGCGGACAACAAGCGGCGCCTCGACTTGCTCGGTCATGCGGACGACGGCCGGGACCACGAGGTGGAGGTAGTCGTCTAGGTTGGTGCCAAAGGTCTCGAGGGCAGCGAGCGCCTTGCGGCGCGGAAGTCCGGCCTCGGAGACGTCGGCATGCAGAATGCGGAGGAGGTGTGGAATGAGCTTTGGCAGGTAGACCTTGAACTCGTCCGCGAGGGCGGTGGAGATCTCTTCGACAAGCGAGATGATCTGGATGAGAAGGCCCGAGTCCCAGAACTCGAGGATGAGGTCAAAGAGCTCGTCGAGGTACTCGCGGATGTGGTGCTTCACGATGACGACAATGGACGACATGTGCTGGAAGAGAGCCTCGCGGAGCGACGGGTCGCACCCGCGCATGACCTGGAGCATTGGCGGCATGATTTGAGGGAGAAACGGCGCGGCGCGCATGCCGAGCGAGGTGAAAATCTGCATGACCGTCGAGACAACGAGCTTGTGGTGCTTGGCAAGTGTCGGGTCGGAGAGGACAGCAATGAGCGCGGTTATGGCGACGCGGGCGTGGTACTCGTCGAGCGAGGCGTTGGCATCGGCCGGCGGGAGGAGGGCGAGCGACTGGAGGTCGGGGCCGGTTGGGGCGACGGTCTCGCGACGAGCGCGTGTGGCACGGGTACCCGAGTTGTCAGGGACGGCAGCACCCGCGTCGGTGAGCGGCTCACTGCCGGCTTCGGCGACGTCGGCGAGTGCGCCCGAGCCACCGGCTGGCTGCTGGATGAGCTTGTGGCGGTAGGGGTCGAGGGCGCCGATGATGCCGAGGACCTTCATGATCTCGGACCGGATCTCGGCGGACGACTCGGACGAGAGGGCGCCGAGAAGAATGTTGAGAAGGGCCGGGAAGCGCACGTAGGGCGCGACGACATAGCCCGTGGATTGGCAGAGCTGGCCAAGGGTGCGCATGGCGACCTTGCGGCGGAGGAGTGACGACTGGTCGTAGAGTGTCTCGATGATGAGCGGCAGCAGAGCCGGTGTGTACTGCAGCATGGCCTCGCCAGCCACAACAGCAAGCTCGCCGAGAGCAGAGAGGACGTAGGTGCCGACGAGCATGCCAGCCGACTTGTCGGTGAGTTTCGGGAGGAGGGCACGGATGACCGAAGAGACGTACGGCTTGATGAGGCGGTGCGAGGAGGCGATGAGCTGGGCGAGGAGCTGGGCCGACTCTTCCTTGTTGGTCGCCTCACCCGAGTACTCGAGCTCGGTGAGGAGCTGAATAAGGGTCTTGCGGAGGGCAGGCATGACGTAGGCCGGATTGCGCATGGTGAGGCGGCCGACGAGCTTGATGGCGAGCTCGCGGATGGCAAAGACCTCGTCTTTGAGCGCAATAAAGAGCGATCGGAGGACTTCGGCCTGAGCGAGGTGGTAGTCGAAGCGGTCGTCGAGTGAGGCGAGGACAGCCTCGCGGATGGACGGGTCCGGGTCAGCAATGCCGACCACGATGAGCTTCTCCAGGACCTCTGCGACGACGATGGACTCGTGGCCCGAGGTCGGCGCCGGTGTGTCCGGCTCAACTAGGAGCGCACAGCATGTGAGGGCGGCCTGGCGGCGGATGAGCGGCTCCGAGTGCTCAAGAAAGTCGACGACGCAAAAGCGGACCAGCTCCGAGAGGATGTGGCCCTCAAAGTTGAATTGACCTAGCGTCTCGAGAGCGAGGGCAAGGAGCTCGGGATTGGACGCGCCGCCCTGGGCGGCAATGGTCGCGGCGAGTGCCGGGTTTGCGCTCAGCGGCGAGATGCCCGAAGCCGGGGCCGAGCTCGTGGCGGCGGTGGCCGACGACGACGAGCCGGTGGATCCAGGCGCCGAGTAGGGAACACCCTTGAGGACGAGCGAGAGCATGTCGAGGAGGCGGGTCTGGATCGGCGAGAGAAGCTCTGGAAGGTGAGCAGCGATGGGTGCGAGCGAGTCGACGAGCCGCTGCGAGAGGCCGGAGAGGAACATGGTGTCGAGGAGGGCGGCGAGTCGCTTGGCGAGCGGCGGGCCCATGGCTTCGGCGAGCATGGCGACACAGTCGAGCGAGGCGAGCGAATAGGTCTTGGACGACTTTTTGGCGGAGAGCGAGTCGGAGATGGCCTTGAAAATGGCGTCGAGGAAAGGAGCAATGTTGGACTTGACTACGCGGGCAATTTCGCCAACGGCCACAAAGGCGACGTCGCGGTCGTCGCGGGCCGACTTGAGGACTCCCAGCATGTCGGCCATGGCATGCTTGAGGTGGACGGCGATAAACTCTTCGGAGCGAAAGGCGGCGATCTTGGGAATGATGATGAGGAGTGAGCGGCGGATGTCGCGGTTCTTGTGCGACTGGAAGGAGAGAATGACGGCAACGTCGTCGAGGACCGAGTCCATAAACTCGGGCGCCATGTCGAGGAGGACTGAGAGGGTGAGGAGCGCGCCGTGGATGGCGTCGGGCGATGGCGAGGTGAGAGCGCGCATAGCCTCGTCAAAGAGGCGCGAGAGCCAGTCGGCCTTGAGCGCGGCCTGGCGCGAGGAGATGAGGCGGAGGCACGAGGCAAGGGCCTCGACGGCGACTTTGCGGACAGCCAGCTTGGGGTCGGAGACTGGAATGGAGAAGAGGTCAAAGAACGAAGCGACGTGGACGTAGAAGAGGGTCGGGGCCATGATGGAGAGCTCGCGGAGGAGGAGGACGGCGGCGAGGCGACGTGACTCGTTACGGTCGTTGCCCGAGAGCCAGTCAAAGGCCCGGGAGACTTCAAACTCGACAATGTCTGCCGAGAGCGTGCCGCCGACCTGCGCCAAGCGGCCGAGCGTCTTGGCAGCCATCTCCATGACCGACGGATCCGAGCAGGGGAGGACGTTCTTGAGGTAGTTTGCGAAGCGAGCAATCTTGGTGGCATTGTCGTGGGTATCGACGTCGACCAGGACAGCAATCGCAAGAACACCGCCCTTGTTCTCATCCACCGATGCCGAGTTGACCAGATCATGGATGACGTTCCTCAGCTCGTTCATAAACCTTGTCCGCAAGTCCGACGGCGACTCACGAACGACCGAGACCACCAACGACTGCAGAGCTGCCGCACCTTTTTGTTGCGTCACCACGTCATTTCTGTATGAACACACACACACACACACACACACACACACATATGCATATACATATACATACACAGGTCCGTATGGAATGCGGTGAGGGTATGGAAAGGCTGCTGGTTGGTGGTTGGTGGTTGGTGGTGGTTGGTGGTCTGGCTGACTTTGCCAAAAAAGGGTCGTAGCCTAGCTCGGGCCAGGTGGTCCGTCCCATGCAGGTGTGTGTGTGGAGTGGGGGGTGGGGGTGGGCAAGGGCAAGAACAAGGGTAGTCAGCAAGGAGAGAGTGAGAGAGGGGAGCCAGCGTACTTTGTCCGGAGTAGTTGTGCGATACCATGTAGGGAGTCTAGCATGGATGACGACATGGTAGCTCCCGTGGACGGGGAGAGGGGAGGGGGGGGGAGGGGGAGGGAGGGAGAGAAGCCGTGCGGTCAGTTTGCCTCTGCTCGGTTTACCTCGCAGCCTTGTTCCGGGGAATGGAATGGGATGGGATGGGATGGCGATGAGATGGCAGAGGATGGTGCGATGAGAGAGATGGGTGCGGGTGCGATGGGAGGTTCATTGGGATAAGGGTGCTATGTCTGGGGGGGGGGGGGGGGTGGGAGGGGAATGTTGCTTGTTGCGCTGTTGTTGGGTGAGTGAAGGGATTCGGCGTCGGGATCGGGTCCGGATCTGAGCTCAGGCTCAGCTGTGGGGGGAGGTGATCGGCCCAGACGGCGCAACTGGCTTGGTGTCCGGCTTGATCAGACGGGCCACAAGAGGAGTACGAGACAGGTCGACCACTGATGCCCGAAAGGCAGGCGCGAGAGGCACAGAGGCTGAGGCAGAAGCGGCTGCGCGAGAGCGTACGAGCCAAGATGGACAAGCTGGCTCGGCTGGTCGAGCTCGACATGAGCAGCAAGCCCAAGCCGACCATCGCAGCCATCCTGGACGCATCCATGGAGGTATCCAGTTGCAGAACTTGCGGATTGATGCGCTGGAGGCCTGTGCCAATGGCAGCGCCGCCGCCGTTGCTAGAGACTGGATCCTGCCCGATCCAAGCTACAAACCTTTCAGTGTGACAACCATGGATCCGCGACTACCGTATATGGAGAGCCGTATGTGGAGAATGGCGCCTTTGCGGATGAGTGCCTCCTGGTTGCCGACGGCATCTCAGTCGCCAAGCCGCCACGGCCACGGCAGCCGCCACAGGCGCCGGCACTGCAATCGCCGCCACCACCGCCGCTGCCGCCGCCATCGAGAGTGCGTCATCCAATGGGAGCTTGTTGTGATCCGCCGCCACCGCCACCATCATCATCGGCACCAGCTCCACCGACCGCCGCTCCGCCGCCGTCCGATCTCCCAGACAGACAGCGAGGCCGGCGACAAACTCGAGGCACTGATGCAGCTGGTCAACGGTGAAACTGGCGAGATCTGATGGCATAGCATAAGCGGTGCACCGCAATCCAGAAACACAGAGCAGGACCGGATTCATGGGCGACGCGCGCGTCCGTCCAGCTGTCAGCAGCCGACGCCAGCCGAGTCACGGAGCCGACCTTCCACATCCACACTACCACCGGCAAGACCGCCACCTCTCTCTCTCCTTCTCCCTCTCCCTCTCGGCCACTATGAACAGCACAAGCAACCAAGTGGCAGCACTGCACAAGACAGCCAGACGAGCCATGCTCTCCGCCCGACAGACCGTCTCACGAGCAAGTCTCTCACTCTCGCACGGCGCGACGACAGCTGCCGCTGCTGCTGCCATGGCCGGCGACGATGCACCCGTGACAGCAGCACTGGCGAATCTTAGTAATGTGTGTGATGCACTGAGTCGGACGGTGGCTCAGCTCCCGCCATCGGCACGGGCTATGTGGTCGAGGAAGGCTCAGGTGGTGGCGGACGAGCTGGAGGCTCTGCTGGCAGAGGACGCCAAACATGGCCTGCGGGCCGCAGAGGCTGCCAGTGGAGGCGCAGGCGGCCGAGGTGGTGGTTTCCGTGCTGGCGGCGGAGAAGAGGTTCGCATCGACATGGACGCCGTTGCCGATGAGGCCGCGGGACTCTCCAGGGCGTCGTCGAGGCTTGACGAGATGATCGAGATGGGCTGGGCGAGCGTGGACCAGCTCCGCGAGGACGGCTCCATGCTCAAGCGGGCCAAGACCAAGCTGCTGGATCTCTCGGCTTCTCTCGGCTTCTCGCTCGACGTCATTCGCATGGTCGAGCGCCGCGACGGCCAGGATCGCTGGATCCTGTACGCAGGCATGCTCCTGGTTGTGGTTGTCCTCCTCGTCTCGGTGTTCTACATCCGGCCGTGGTGGCGCGGCGAGGGCGCGTGGGCGCCGGCCCCGCCGCCGATGTAAGCTTTGGCCGCCCCAGCCGGGGGGATAGCTGTTTACTCGCATGCACAGGAGTACAATCACGCCGCCAGCGCAGCCTTGACCAGGCCGGCGTACTTGGGCGTGCCGAGGCCGGTGGTCGGGTCCCAGCCAGGGGCAGCAAAGAAGCACTGGCCATCGCAGCCGCCGGCCTGGTCCGGGTTCCCGCCCTCGACAACATCGAAGAAGCACTCGGAGCCGCACGACGCGGCAGTCTGGTAGAGGAACGGGTTGAGGAAGCCGAGCGGCGGCTTGCCGGCGGCGAGGCGGGCGTCGTTGAGGAGCGAGACGACGGCAGAGAAGGTCGGCGCCGCGCACGAGGTGCCGGCAATCATGCCGGGCAGCGGCACAAAGTCGAGGACGATGGAGAAGCCCGAGGAGAGGGCTGCAACGTCCGGGAAGCCGCGCGAGGTGGCGTTGTAGTACGACGCCGGCGGGAGCTTCACACCCGAGCTGCCGAGGTAGTGGGCGACGGCGGCGGCCTGGTAGTCTGGCCGCGGGAAGATGTTGGAGAAGCCGCCGGTGGAGAGACCGTTGACCACCTCGCCCTTGTCGGTCAGCCGGGTCCCGCCGACGGCGGTGACCCATGGCGTGCCTGCCGGGAAGGTGGGCGAGAAAGCGGTGCCGGCCGCATCGCAACCGACGCCCGAGTCGCCCGACGCAAAGAGGACCGAGACGCCGCGGGCGCCGAGCTTGGCCAGCTCTGCGTTGACAGCCAGCACATAGCTCGGCTCGATAGAGGCCTCAACGTCGCCGTAAGAGACCGAAAAGGTCATGGGCGGGGCAGGATCGGCGGCCACGTCGCCAAGCCACTCGAGGAACGGCTCCTGGTTCGCGTGCGTACCGCCGGTGGACCAGAATGTGGTGTTCACCTTGGCAGCCACCGACATGATGTACTGGATGTCCAGCGTAGCTTCGGTGCCCGGCGGGGCGTGGTTCGGCCCACGAATGGTCGGGTGCGTGCCGATGGCGTAGTCGGCAAAGATGAGGAAGAACTCGTCAAGGTCGGCCTTGCTCATGTACTGCTTAAGGAACTGGGCGACAGCCTGGGTCGTCTTGGGCGACGCGTTGCCCATGGTCTCGTCCACGCCGTATTGCTTGCGGAGAACGTGCGGATCAATGACCAGCGCGTCATCAACAGCGTCAAGCCCGCGCTCGGTCTTGGCCACCAGCGGCTGCGCCACCATGCGGGTCAGGCCACCGGCGGTCAGCACCAGCTCGCGCAGTCCGTGGCGGAGCATAGGACGGCCCTCGGCACAGCGGATGACCGGCTCCAGCACGTCGGCGCCGGGACCGTGAGGAACAAACACCTTGAGCTGGCAATCGGTGACGAGGTGTGCGTCCTGAGCCGTGAGGTGGAGCCGGACAAAGGACGAAGCGCCGCGACGGGAGACTGACCACTCGCCGATAGCACCGTCTGCCAGAGCCTTACGCGCGATAGCCACCGTAGCAGCAATGGCATCAATATCATCATACAGAGCAGAGACGGCCGCCGCAGAGAGGTGCATGCCATACAGCTCATGGCCAGGCGTAGAGACGGCCGTGGTGTAGGCGAAGAGCGCCTCGGCCCCGCCGGCCTTGCCACCCACCACAAGGTCAATGATGAGCTCGCTATTGCCTGCCACATCCTCCGTCGTCGCCTTCCATGTCACGCGAGCTTGAGTCATCTGGCTGAGCATGGCTGCCAGTGCAACCGTTGCCAGCATGGCTGTCGAGAGGGTCAACTTCATGTTGCTGTGGCCAAGTCACGTGCCACCGCCCGCGCTCGAAACGGCAACAGCACGCCAAGCGCCCGCGCGCGGAGGAGTTGATGTCGACTTTAGTTGTTGCTGCTGCGGTCAACTCCGGTGATGGGCCGGACGACGATCGGGCTCGGCAAGCCACGACGCAAGGTCTGCTTGCTGTTGTGCGCTGAGGCCGTCGCGCTCAAGGGTGAAAGGGACCGCGCGCCAACGAAGGATCGGACCCAAGGCGACGAGATTGAAGTGCGAGACAAGACGGGACAGGCGGCCAGAGTACAGCAGCTCACCGGAGAGCCAGACCTCGGCAAGGACGGTGTGATGGTCGTCTGGGAGGTAAGTGACAATGTCGGTTTCGAGTAGGTAGGCTGGCGGGCGGGCGTGCGGGCGGCGCGAGACAGTGCGCACAATCCGATCGCCAAGCCGCTCGCCGGTCAGGGTGTAGAGCTGCATGGCCAAGGCGTCGTCGATGATGTCGAGACCAGAAGTCTCGACAAAGTTGAGCCGCGGCGCATGGACAAAGACCCGATACTCAAAGGCTGACGCCGGAGGGACTGGTGGTCGCGTGGCAGGCTCCAGACCGCGGAGGCTCGCCAGCGACGCCTGCAGCGCCAGCGACGCCTTGTCGTCGGCCTTGGCCCGGTTCCGGAACAGGCCTGGCGGGCTCGCGCCTAGATGGCCAAACGAAAAGCTCATCATCGGGAGCGACGGCTCGCTCTCGGACATGTCGTCCGGCATCGGCTCGAGCGCTGGTGACGACCGCGCCCAAACGTCCGAGACGACCGACGAGTCGCTGTCGGGCGCCTCCAGCAGGTTAGCGTCGTCCGAGTCGAAACCTTCGGCGACAAGCTCGTCGACAAGGGCAGTCTCCGAGGCCTCGGCCACCAGCTCGGCCAGCTGATCATGCTCGTTCCGCTCGACCACCAGCTCAAGAGCAGCCTGCGAGAGCAGCGACGACGAGAGGCCCGACGCCATCGGGCCGTCCAAGCGGTGCTGCTCTTTGCTCACAAACCGCTCCTCAAAGGCGTCCGAGTCGGCGACGCGCAGAAACTCGGCCGCATCCCAGAACGCGGCCTGGCTTTTGAGCACCTTGGCGACCATGCCAGGCTCGTCGGCGGCGGCGGATCGATCGAGCAGGAAGTCGACCAGCTTGGACTCGAGCTCCTTGCCACGGTGCGAGCGACGGACGCAGAGCAGGGCAGGCGCCCACGTCCCGGCCTCTGTACAGACAAATCCAACTGGCCCGTACTGCTCTGTCGCCCGGACAACATACATCTCCTCGCGGTAGTACGAGCGAGCAATGACACTCCGGAGGTGCCAGAACCCGATCTCCTCCTTTCCACGCTCAAACGCCACCGAGTCGCGCTTGAGCCAGGCAAAGACGCTTTTGAGCGCCTCACGGTCAGCCTTCTCAATGACATACTCCAGCACCCGCATCACCACCCGCTTGCCCCGCATCACTGTCTCGGAGAGCATGCCATCGTCGCCGACGCCGTCGCCCTCGCTCCTGCTCGTGGAACCGTCATCGCTCTTCAAGTCGTCGTCGGACAAGAGACAAGCAAAGCTGACGTTGCGCGCGAGGCCTGTCCGACTCTGCTTTCCGCTTCGTCCGGCCAGCACCTCCTCCATCCGCTCCGCCATGGCCAGCTCCGCCAGCTCGCGCTCCACCCGTGCGAGCTCCTTCCCGGCCTTGGTCTCTCTCACCCGCTCGGCAGACAGGCCGCACTCGCGGAGCGCCTGTGTCCGCGCAACCGCCCGTGTATGCGCCTTCTCCAGCGCCGCGCGCCTCTGTGGTAGCACGCTCATCCACGCCCCTTTCCCGCACGCCGACCGCTGCTTCGGTCTGCCGTCTCTGCGACAGGTCGTGTCGGCTACCCGGCTGCCTGCGCAACGGCTGGCCGTTTCACGACCTTTTTAGGGTCAGGGGAGGGGGGTGGGGGGGTTCGCTGTTGGTGGGGATGATATGATGACTCTCCCGTTATATTGCAACATGAATGAGAA